GGTACAGGCCACTAGAGGGAAGATACAAGGGCTGGATGCAGAGAGAGAGGCTTTTGAGTAAGACAAGCTCTACTGCAGTTCTCACCAGAATGTTCTCAGCCTCCAGTTATTTGTGCCTCACCAACACTCCAAGCAAAAGGGTTTATCTTCACCCACAGGAAGAGTGGAGGGTCCCCACCACATACCCTTCAAAGTTCCAAACCTTTTATATAGCTAATAATCATCAATAATAATCATCATCGTGCAGCAAAGGGTTCCACAGTAAAACTAGTTTTTTGTTAACAACTTCTTGTTTGGAGCCTGCTACTTGGCAGCCACCATTTCTACCAAAATCAAAATTAATCATGATAGCTTGAAGACAGGCAAGTACCTACTTAACTTCTCCCAATTACGTAACTTCTGAATCTTCTGTTAAGTTCTTTCTCCCTCTAGAAGTTATTTCATACTCCTTCCAAGGAGGCTTGGGGGAGGATCCAAGGGAAAGAGCGAAGGACACTGCAAACACAGACTTGCAGCGTACTTGGGCAGTAGCATTAACAGCCTACTTCTTTTCCCAGGATGCACCAGGTTTCAGTGTATAGGGGAAACTGTTTTAACAAAACTTCAAATACCTCTAAAAATCTCAAATCTTGGGGCAATCCATCTCACAGCCCATACAAGGTCTGTAATAAATTAGGATTTCCAAGTCTTACATTCATTTACAACCAATTTTACTTGTTATGACTCAATTTGCTCAAAAAACACAGAAGCTTTCAGGTGGCCTTCACTTTCTGTGCCACAAATAGCTCAGAATTGAACTCCTCTTGCTATTCAGTGCTTGTTCTGTTCCATATAAACAGCCAAATGAGAAAAAAATTCCAGCATAAAACATGGAGAGACTTAACTCTGAAATACTAACATTTTTAAAAGAAAAGTATAAATAAAAGTCCAGAATCAAGAAACAACCCACAGCATTCCACAGAAGCCTGCTTTCTGAGCCTTGCATGATGACCTTCACAAACTCCTGTTGAAAAACTAAACCAAGAATATCTATTTGGGATTAAGTCTTCTCCAAATGAAACTCTCAAGTCACTGAGAGATGTGTGTGTGATTTTCCCTTATGAAATTCTCACTGACTGTTACCACTAGCCTGGCATCTCTCCTGCACAATTGTGTCATTTCAGTAGTTTGCAGCTGGCCAGGCAACCTCAGCACCTCGTCTGAAAGGCCGTATGGAGGGAACTGCTTCCACTCTTCCTAGGCTGCCTGTCCTCAGCAGCACAACCACATCAAGAATCAGTCTTAAGTTACACCAGAAGATTTTAAGTGACTGCTCCAAACTCCTGTCTTTAAAAGGAAGGGATCTTCAATGTCGGAGACTTCAAACTTCCACTGCTCCAGTGGTGGATTAATAATGGCTACCCCAGCTATGGTATCTAACTCATTTGGGAGACCCTAATTAGGATAACATAACTTCCCAATTATCAAGTTTAATAGCTCAGTAACTCCCCCACATCATTTCCAGGAGACTGACTAGTTGCATGCATATAAACCATTATTATTTCATTAAATAAAAATTTTAAAAAGCTTTCAGAATTATATGGATAAGAATTAATTAAATCCTACTAACACCTGTATATTTGTATTTTATCAAAGAATAAATTTCTTAAGGTTATTGAAGAAGTTGGAGAACAAAAAAGACATTACAGAGAAGTTGAACAAGTCCTCAGAGAGGGCACTTTAAATAATTTCTAACATTTCCTTACCCTGAAAAATGGAAAATACATGCCTGAATGAACTGAGCAACAACAACCCACTGCTGCAAGGCTTATAGTCTTCAACTATAAGACACAAAAAGTCTGGAAGTCAGCTGCAATTAAAGCAGCAAACCTTATTTTAGGCAACAGGAATACGAGGAATCTTTGCTAAGAAACCAAAGGATTAGTCAGTTACAGGCACAATACAATCCACACTTCTATTAAAGATGAAACAGACATCAGACCATACCTTACACCTCATGAGCCTGGGCTCACACCAATACATATTAGAAGACAGTAAGCATTTCTTGGAAACAGAAACAACTTGGCAAGTGAGCCATGAAAGCATGACGAGAACCCCAAGGCTCTCCTCTAAAGCCTACTAGATTACTGCCATGTCCAGGCAGAGCTGATTTGATTCCATAAAGCCAATGTTTAAGACTAACTCTGAGACAGTTTATAGTATGGATTCTTGGGTGAAGGAAAAAAAAAATCAAAGGTGCTTAAACTGAAACATACTCTGAAGGCAAGTTTACAGGTCAATTTTAAATATACAAAATAGAAGATCAGGCTAAGTTTACTAGAAGTGAACACCAAATACGTGATACCAAACTTCAACCTTAACAAGAAGCCTTTCTAAGTTACCACGAGTATGCTTATTTTAGACAGCATCTGCCCCATTCACTTGAAAAGTCACCTAAGCTGAAGACTGACTTTAATTGGCAAGAAACACACAAGCACTCCTGTATTAATTCTTATTTATGATGCTTTTCTCCTTCCATGAGAGGGGAACACATTCAAATACTTCATCCATGCCTTCTGTGGGGCTGTGAAGTGGAAGAGAAGAGCTTGAAGCTGCTCAGCCCCTTACTTCCAAAGAACATCACACCTGTAAGCACCAACAGGTCTTCCAGGGAAAGAGCATCCAGACTGAGAAAGTCTCTGCAGAACAGTGAAAGTGGCCTAAGAAACAAAACAGAACAGGAAGACAGAATAGAGCAAGAAAGGAGCTTTGCACCACCTTACAGCAGTCCTGCTCCACCAGGACTACTACCTATGCTACAATTGCTATTACCTCCCTAATCACCCAACTGCTGGTTTTAAGTCAGCTTGTTCAAGCCCTGCCAAGCATGCAAGCACACAAATTGATGCGGCTTAAAGACTATTTACTCAGCTTCCCGAGCAGACTTCTCAGCTTACACTGCTCTCCAAGAGGCCACACTAGCCAGGGCAGCTCTGACAACTTTGCTGTTACTTGGGTGTCCTGCTCAGAACATTGATAACCTGTCTCATATGTTACATCCACACACCAAGTCACTGTGAAGGACTTCTCATGATCTCCAAATGAGTTTTCCTTTTCCGAACTACTAATTCTCTGCAGAGCGTTCACAGAAATACTGAAGTCTTATATATGAGTATAATTTCCTTGCATCTGTTCCAAGTGATTAAATCACTACATGCTTGTATGGTCTTATTATGCAGCCTCCCACTTAATCCCTGCCCCCAATTTTGGAAATTATGAGGGGTGCTATGGCCATTTAAAATATTCTAGCAGTGCCAAAGTAAGCAAAAGCTGGTTGGATTGAAGAGCCTTTAGCACCACAAGCTATACTACTAAACAAAAATACTCTGAGACATGTCAGGCAACCAAAGGGTTCCATTTGTAGTATGCCAACATTAGTATTCCAGAAAGAAGTGCACCACAAAGAGTCAGAGCTAGTCAGAAAATAATTTTAAGAAATTAAGTTTCAAGAAGACACACTATATGAAGAGACAAACCAGTAATTTTGTGATCAACACTTTAGAAACTGCAACTGGCCACTACAGAGCACCAGTTAAAGGCTTCTGAAAGTTTTAGAACCCAAGTAAATTTCTGCATGAACTTCACTGAAGTTTTATGTATCCCTCCTCCTTGCCTAAGCACTAATTTCCAACAGTTTTATCCACTGTTTAATATTAAAAAAACTGTCTAAAATGTGATCTCTAGAAAAGCCATTCTATAACCCAATGAAAAAAATTTTAGAAGTGGCTGCTACTGTGAACTTGTCTGCTGCTAGTAAGAATAATCACTTAACTGTTCTAATATTAGTCACTTATTTTTAGCCGAGAGAAAGAGGAGTGCTAGAATGACTTACTAAGATGCATACCATAAGCATGCAGTAAGCAACAAATCACCATTAAGAACCAGTAATTTTTTTAAACCTGTGTACTACACAAAGCACCCAAAAGAAAACTGCTCTGAAGAACTTGCTGAAAAAACAGCTGCGTACAGAGTACAGGAGCTTACTGACACTGTTTGAGCTCAGCTTCCGAAGCCCAAATGTCTATGTCTGAGCCACTACTGTGGTTCTGAAGCACTGAAACTACCTAACCAATTCAGAGAGAACTAAAGAAATTTGCGCCAGCCAGCAGGATTACTTAGTGCGCTGCACAGACGTCCTCTGCCTGCAGAGTGGTAAACTGAAACAAAACACCTCAATTTTGTTGAGGCTGGAACTCCATTACTATCAACACTGAAAGGGGAGTGTGGTGTTTTTTTGTCTCGGGAGGAGAGTGGGAAGGAGTGGGGCTTCTTTTTTTTTTCCCCATAAAGTGTTAGCATGATAAAGTATAGTGATCGAGTTAGAAACTCACAGCTAAAGCGAGCTCGTTCTTCAAAACTCGCAAACACTAAACCGTCCCTTGCACCGTTAAGTCTCAAAGAGCGGAATTCGCCCAGCACAAAGGAGTTGAGACAAGTCCTCCAAAGGACACACACAAGAAGCAGGATACTTCATTCCACCACACGTCTTCAACTACACTCAAAACTGCTGAGCGAGCGAACTACTTTTAACCCAGCCCCTACACCAAAGCCGAAGCTCTCGCTGGAAATGAGCGCAGATGGCAATCAACCAAGCACCAGCACACACTGCTCCACTCGCGCCGCGCTCCGAGCTCTTCTCCCTGCGCGCAGCGCGGGCAGGGGAGCGGCGGCGCAGCCCCGGCTGGCCCCGCAGTGCCCGCGGCGGGCGGGAGGAAGGCGCTCGGCGGCCCGGGGAGGCTGCCTGGCTCCCTCCCTCCTTCCCGCCCTCCCCCGGCCGGGGGCCACACCAGCCCTTCCCGGCCGCCAACACGAGCAGGGGCGGCTCGCCCGGCCTGCTCGGCGGGCCCCAGACAAAGGAAGGAAGGAAGCGGGGACGAACCGGGGCGAAGAGGCGACGGCAGCCCGGCTCCCCCCGGCGAGCGCGGCCGCCGCATCCGTGTGCGCTCAGCCGGGGCCAACTCCGGCGGCGGGCGAAGTGACCCGGAGGGCACCGAGCGAGGCCGGCGAGCCAGAGGGAAGAGGAGGGAGAAGCGGCGGCGGGAGGAGGAGAGAGGAGCGGGGCCGGTGGCTCACCAGGATCCGCTTGAAGAGGTTGCTCTCCTTGGGCGGCAGCGGCACGGACGGCATGGCGCGGGCGGCCCTGGGACAGGCACGGCTGGCGGGGGTGGGGGCAGCCCGGGAGGGGCGGCTGTCGGTACGAGGGATGGGAGGAGGGGGGAACGCCGGGGAGGAAAAGCCCGAACTCGGCGGGGCGGCGGCGGCGGCACTTTAACTCATAGCCCTGCGCCGCCCGCCCTCCCCGCCGGCTCCCCCGTGCCCCTCTGCGCAGCTGCCGGGGCGCCTCGCAGCCCGCCTGACGCTGCAAAATGGCCGCCGGGGTCCCCTCGGCGCAGGCGCGGTGCCGCTCCCCCTCACAGACACCCCCTCCGCCCGCCCGGCCCCAGGGCACGGAGCGAGGATTCCCTCCGTGATTCCCTGCGCGATTCCCGGCGTGGCGGCTGAAGCGCTCCGCTCCCGGCGCTCAAACGGCCGCTTCGGGGAGCCAGGCTGCCCGCAAGCCTGGGAGGGAGGCGGCGTTGGGAAGGAGCGCAGCCTCTGTCGGCGGCGGGGCTCGGAGAGGCTCTGCGGGCTTGCAGTGCCCTGGCTGGTATTTAAGGAAACAACAGCAAACTTGGCAAAGCAGGCTTTGAGCAAGCGGGGACGGCCCCCGTCGCATTAAGGCATTTTCAGCAGTTGGTTATGTAAAACTTGCCGACACCATCGTGCGTCCACAGAACAGCGGCGTTTTTTCACCGCTTGGCTCCTTCACCGAAGGAGGTCTAAGGTCTTTATTTTTTTTTCTTGTTATTCCCAAAAATCATTCTTATAAACAAAACCAAGCCAAAACCACCAACAACCAGGAGTGCTAAAACTACATAGCCTAGGGCATTACTTAAAAGGAAAATTGGTTAAACTGTCAAGGTTACAACCGAATAAAAAGACCATCTTATGGGTAAAACAAACTAGGCGACTGCAATTAAAATCTCTGTTTATATAATTAACCTTTAAAAATATTAATTATATTTTGGCATTTACTTCAAAGTATCTTAGTTCTGTACTGATATGGCTACCCACCTACAGTCGAAGATGATGATCGATATCCCCAAGTAAAGCAAGTGTGTGCGAAACAGAAACTCACAAGAGCCAATTAGAAAGTCTGTGCACTTAATATATTTTATTTGGTACTCGGTGAGCAGATGGCTATGAGACTGAAGTTCCCAAGCAGCATGTCCTTGACTTGACATAAGCCTTGCTGAAGCTGATGACATGATAGCTGCTTTCCTTTCTGGCTAACAGAGGGAACAAGACAGTCGACAATTTCTTGGAAGAGAGTAACCTGCATGTCAGCCTAATAACTTGAAGACTAATAAGTAAAAAAAAAAAAAAAAAAAGAAAAAGAAAATAATATAAAGTATATGTTTTGATATGGTTCTTTATAGCTGAGCCATCAAGTTATGGACACTTTTAGTGAATGGTTGTTGGTTACCACAGTGTTTTGTTAATCTCTCTAGATGTATGGTCTGTCATAAGGATTATCTCTATTGTGTTTATTTCTCACTTTTTTGTTCTGGCATGCTTCTAATGATGTCAGCAGGGTCACTAATGACAGTATGTGTTTTCCACATGCAGTACCCAATTTATTGTTCTTTCTGCTATATGCTGTAATAGTGCTGCATTGGGTATCCAATTTTTACAAAGCAGGAGTATTACTGAGAGGGATGGCAGCTTGGCTTTGCCCTGCAGCATCATTTTCAGAGCCTGTTTGTACCATGGCATGTCTTCAGCACTTCTAACAACTAGCTGAAGCCTCGACTCTATGAACCCTAGTTTCTGTCATGGCAAAAGACTTATTATGCCTCTGTTTGGACTGAATGATAAACCGATGCATCATGGAGAATAGTCAGGCAAATGTGGTGCTAGGTGGACCTTTGATTTGAAGCAATAAGGCTGTTTTTGATAGCTAAAGGTCTCTGTTTCCTGATAGTACAAACACTGGAAAGAATGCTGTCTGAAAGTAGGCAAAATTGCAAATAAGAGGCAGGGGTTCAATTTGCATCTAGATGTGTCCATATTAAAAGTCTGTTAAAAGCAGCAAGAAAAGGAAAGCAGGGAGGCAATAAAAGAAACGTTTGTAGGCTAGCTGGGAGAGAATAAACAAAGAAATTAGCTTTGTGGGAAGGCAGAGCTCCAACTGAAAGTGAGGTTTGGGAGCGCAGTCAAGAAAACTTCTTGTCATTTAATCCCACTGTGCTGGGCAAAACAAAGCTCTCTCTACAGGCTTTGTTAATAAACAGGACTGTATTCAAGACGCGTATGATTCTGTCACCATTTTTTCCTTCAAACAGAAAGATTGCAGAAGTCTGAACTGTTTGGGCTGAAAGGGGAGAACAATATTGAAGTGTTACATACAGGGTAACAAGTTTGCTATTTTTGCGGGGAGATGCTCACACACCACTAAACCCAGTTAGGGCCCCTGCGTGGGCATGGACCTGCCTTCAAGCCAAGCATGTTGCAAGGCCTGGAGCCTGTTCTGTCTGATGAGCCATCCCTTTGCCTCCAGTTTCTAAGTTGGCAGATTAATAGTGCTGGGTTTTAAAGTACAGGACCACCGTGTGTATCCTGAAGCCCCAGAGCCCAGCTGTCTTACTGCTGTCACTCTTCCCTTCTGCAGCCAATGTCACTGGGCTGCTCAGGAAGGTGATGGCACCCTGCCCCAAAGAGCCCATGCCCCATAACCCCTTATCCTCACCAGCTCCATCAGCAGCTGCTGCTTCAGCCATGCAGGTTTTATGCCATTGAAACAAGCTGTGAGAGGGGTAGAAGCAGATTCCACATCCTTCATACCCAGTTCCCATACTGCAGTCTAAAAGCACAGGGTAAACTTAGTGAAAGAGTGTATCTTCCATGTTTTGAGTATGAGCTGCATGGACAGGTCCTGTGGTGCATGGTCCCTGGCAGCCCTGCTGGCTGCACAGACTCCAGCCTTGGCTTGGCTGTGTAGCCCCTCCGTGCTCTGCTGCCTGGTAGGGAGGGAGCAGGACTTTGTTCCAGTCTCTATTTTCACACTTAAGTTAAAACATTCACCCACAAGGCATAATAAACCTGAACATGATCATGTTTAATCAGAGGATTTAATGCAAGAACCATTACTGGCTGGAGTAGAAGCTGATTTGATTTTCCTTGGCCTACCTTCTTCTTTTTAAACCAATTTTGGAGCATGAGGTCTACTTGCAGTTTCAAGTTATTAGGTTCTTGGTTGTCCTCCCAGAGAGGACCTTCCCAATATTTTTAAGTATCAAGTTGCACATTTAGAGTACCAGTGCAAGTACAATTTTATTATTTCGTTTCACTGAGCCCCAGAAGTCATAGTAGAAGAAGAGGCAGGCCTGGGGAAGATTTCAGGGTGCTGTTTTCTGTGGACCAACTCTCGGGTGGGTCCTGTTCTCTGGAAGTGGTTTTCCATCTGTCTGCCTTGCCTCCTGTACCCACGGGTTGAGCAGAGCCAGAACCTGTCCTCAGGCCTAAACAAGCGGTTAGTTGTCATTCAGGCGCTGAGCTTTGATCCCAGTCCTATGCATTCATTGGTCCCGTTTTCAGTCTTTTGAAATATTTACCATGCCAAATCCCAGTGATGTTTTACATGCCAAATACAAAAATTTTACCTTATTTTTTTTAATTTTGTAGAATGACAGTAGCTGAGAAGAAAGGTATTTTGGTGGTTATAGGTATAAAAACCCATTGCTTAAATTTTTTTAAAATTTTAACTAGGGAGGTAGTGGTATAATATTTAATAATAGCTTTTAAAATGTCCACATAAATAATATGTTTGAAAGCATACTTTATGAGGAAGCTGCAGCAAACTAGCATAGTCATAATCAGAATGGCAATTTTTATTAATATTTTGTTTGCCTTTAGTAGAATAGCAATAATTCATTTTAAATAGAATTGAATGGTAAGCTTTGACACAAAGTGGAGATTAATGTGATTTTATTCAGATGTCTCTGAAATCAATCAGATTGGCAGGGCGGGGGCTGCCTTTGCCGCCGGCGTGGCCCAGGCGCTGCCCGGGCAGCGGGGGGGACGGGAAGCGCGTTTTCCCGCAGGCATGCTGGGACTGGGAGTGCGCGCGCTGCACTTCCCGTCCGCCGCGCGCCCGCGGGCCGGGCCGGGATCCCAGCGGCGTCCGGGAATGCGGACGGTGAGTGCCGGAGCCCCGCCGGGCAGCGGGCAGTGGGCAGCCCCCACCCCGCCGCTGCTCCCGCTTCTCCCTGCCCGCTCCTGTCCCTGCCCGCTCCTGACTCTCCCTGCCCGCTCCTGTCCCTGCCCGCTCCCGCCTCTCCCTGCCCGCTCCCGCCTCTCTCTCGCTGCCCCTTGAGCCCCGCAGCGGCTCTCGGGGGCTCTGCTGCGGGGCCGTGGTGGAGGCGGAGGTGTGCAGGACGTGCTCCCGCGGCTCGGGCTGCTCCTGATCCGGTGGGCCAGCCCTGGAGTGCCTCCTCCTGCCGGCACCTGCCAATTCCTGTGTGCCTAAGTGCTGCTGCGTGGCGCCGGTCGCATCCTTGGTTGTTACAAACGCATTTTATGTTTGTAACTTCCGAAAGTGTTGGCAAGATTGAGAGCTCTTTCCTGTCTTGAAATTGTTTTTTAAAAATTATTATTTTAATTGGGCAGTTACAGTTGTCACTTTTGCTTACTGGTTTTCGATTTGTGGTGTGCACGAGGTAGTTTTAATCACATTTAAAAGTTATTAAAATCTGGTTTGGAGATCAATTAATAGGTCATCTAATGCTTATAGCTCCATAAAAGTTATATGTCTGTTTATGCAAATAAGGTGTGGCAGCCCCATTCTGAGAAGGAGATACATTTTTTATTTAACATAACAAAATTATTTTTGAAGCTTCTGACTTCCTTGAAGGCTTGAAGGTCTGTGTTATTTCATTTATTTCATTATCTTTTTTTTTGCTTTTAAACCCAAGAATTTTATTTCTGAGAGCTCAGGCAAAGCAATACAGCAAATTTGTTATTATTTGAGTACATTGCTTCTTAACTACACCAGTAAAAGTTAGCTAGATGGTTGTAATTGATATGTTTAATTAATGTATTGGAATAAAATATAGCATTAATGATTTAAAATTGAGTTGATGATGGTCAGCACTTAGCCAAACAAAAATGGGCCATGCTGATCCTGGAGCAAGTCCATATTCATCAGCAGAATTAGGTCTCTTGGCACTGAGTCCACTTATGCCTAAATCTAGGATCATAGATGATGAGCCTGATTTTGTGCCTTTTGCTGTGTTCCTGGTGAAGGGAAGAGGATTCCTCTGCTGCAACTGGTTTTAGTCACTATAGCAATCCAGGAGGGGTATAATTTGCTTTCTGTATGTTAAAGCAGCCTTGAAGTTGCTGCTGTGGATTCGATAGCAGCTGCTGGCTGGGGAATCTGGCAAGGGTGCAGAAGTAGAATAAAGGTCCTTGCCTCCTTCTGTAGGTAGTAAAACAAGCATTAAGATAAGATGCAGTATTTCTGATTCTACTGCATATTGCTCTTTCTTCTTTATGGACAAATGCATGTCAGTAAATAGGTGAGAATAGCGGGTGAGTTGAATAGTTGGAGTGTCACAGTAATTTGTTAGTAAAATGCATGAAGATGCACAGAAGGTCTTGTCACTGATGAGTAAAAAATAATTTTGTCAGGAAACTGAAATGTGTGTTTCTGGATCTTGTTGCAAAAAGGTTCATGCTCTTATTTTCTCAGAATCCACTTTTTTGTAGAAATCAGTGGGCAGATGGGACCGTGGCACTGGCAGGGTTACTAGAAATGCTTCTTTGTATGTTAAACCTTTTCTGTGGGAGTAGCCCTAGACTAAGTGTGATCTCAGTGTTGTCTTCCTGGTAGAGTCTTGCACTCCAGTATAAAATTTTAGAGCACAGTAGTAATTCATAACATAGTTTGCAATGTTGATGGTATAAGAGGAAATGATCTTTCATAGAGCAGCTAAGGGGAGCCTGGGTTTTATAAAACTGTAGGCCAAATGTCTCAGATAAATATTGGAGTTGTATTTCAGAGTACCTGCTTCTTACTCACTTTTTGGATGGAAAATATTACGTTGTTTAAGTGTAAATACATCACAGTAAGGAGTATGCAGGGGACATAAAGCACATAAAGAAGTTCTCCTGTCTTTTTCATGTATGAGTGAGTGATTTTTTTTTGTAAGTGCATTGCAGTCCTATTGACTGATATGTTGTGTGGTCATCTACTAATGTCCTCCTTTTATGGTAGTGGATATAATTTGGCACATAATTCTGGACATTTCTTACATTCTCTGCATAGAGTTCTTTACCTCTAGTATTGATTTGCCTTCTCAGCAACATTTTTCTTTCATCAGTAAGGCATGAAATGTTTGGATTTTTCTGATGAGACATATGGCAAATGAAGCTATTGTCAGTAAAGCCTCACCCACAGGAGCTTTTCCATAGTTTAAAAACCTGTTTGGAGAGAGGAGAGAAAAGACTTTTTCCAACCCTCAGTGAGAACAATGGTAATGGTAAGAGCTTCTGATTTAAACTGGGACTAAAACAGGAATACTTTTGTCGATGACAGTTGCATTTGTGTCGGTGTACTCAAACCAGGATATGGGCTTGATACTGTCCTTGTGTTTGTTTGTTGTGGGGTTTTTTAACTAGAATGCTTTATTTTTCTAGATAACAACACTGGTCAATGTACTGTGAACTTTTAATTTCAGGTGGTGGAAAAATAAGAAACAAAATGAAGCCTTTCCGAAAGGTCTGCCTTTTCAAGAGCCTGCTTGCCAATTGCTGCTGTCACAGCCAACTTGACAGCTGTCTTCTCCCTCCTGTTGCAAAGAAGATAGGCTGCATGGTGGGACTGCACAACCATGGATTTTGGAGGCCAAAACCTTTATTGGACACAGCTAGATTCACTCTGTCTTTTAACAGTTGGCACAGGAAAAACCATCAGGATTCTCAAGCTTTGTGGAAGCACGAGGCTGTGCAGAAGTATCTGGAGTCTCTCAGCAAGGAATACCAGCAGGTTAGTCATCAGTTAAGTGCACACTCATTAAATGACTTTGAGCAAAGAACCCTGAGGAGAAGATGTGCCGATCTGTCCCCCATTGCAGCTGCGTTTCAAGAAATCAAAGAGGCTGAAAGAGAAGTTCAGGAGTTAGAAGCAATGTGCACAGGTAAAGGAAAACACGTCTACTTGCTTGCTTCAGAACAGCAGCTGTGCTTGTGATAAATGTCATTGGCCAGCCTTTGAGGAAAGCTTGTAAGTTCAGTCAGCCATGGAACACTCCCTGGTCCTCCCTGCTCCCAGGAGCTTGTGTGCTGCAAGGGCTTTCTGCATCCAGTCACATCCCTCTGTTTTTCATCTCACCTCACTTTAGTTTGAGGTCTTAATATGGTAATTTTGGGGGAGTAGAGATTGTCTGGAACCTCAGGGATATCCGTCTAACAGAAATAGTTGGGAAGCATTAATTTTGAGGTTATTTTTTGGTTGAACTGAGAGCAGTTCGAACAGAAGAAAAAAAATTAGCGATGCTAAAACCTTTGATAGATGCAGACCTCAGCCGTGTTATTTAAAATGGGATTCCACCTGACCAGTTCAGTGATATTTATTGAGCAAATGACATGAACTTTCATTAGGCTCTGAGTTGTCCGCTTCCAATTTAAATGGCAAAAGCTAATATTTCTTTGAAAATATTTGGGGAGTCCTTTAAGGAATAAAGAATGATGGTTGTTTAAGAAGCTGCTGTTTTTCAGTGGTCTGCTACAGTAGAAGTTGTGGTAAAAAATAATTAAAAATTGTAACTGGTTTTTGCACCATTTAGGAATAAGAAAGTACAGAGGGAATAAATAAAAGAATTTACAAAATAAGTAATGGTGCAACATTTGGGAAAAAACACCAGTATTGTTACAAGTGTGAGAAGGTGCACACAGTAGGAAGGAAAAAATGGTAAATGCTTACCACTGCTACAGTGGTAAGTATTCAGCCAAGAGAGGGAAACGCTGACCTGCAGAGAATGGGGTTTGCATTAAAGCAGTGAAGGAGGGGAAAATCAAAGGACAGGAGAAATCAGTACCCAGCAGTGTAAACGGAGGAGGACATGGTGCTTTTCAGAGAGAGAGACAAGGGGTGTGGACAAAACAGTAAGAGACATAATAAAATAAATATGTAAATGTATCTTATTTAGATAGGTAGAAAACAGTTGTATACTTCAGTTTTTAAAAATAAAATATGTTTGTGCTTTTGGAAAAAAGTGCTTATTTAAAATGTTTTAATCCTCAGCCCTCTCTAATTCTCTTCACTGGAGAAAAGTGGAGAAAGAGTGAAGGAGACAAGGTACAAAAATTTAATGCTGAAAGATAAATGCTCTTGAAAAGTATTAAGAAAACTGGAAAATCAATATTTCAGCTTAGGCTGTTTTTGAAGCAAATGAATATAATGAAGACTTCTCTAATTCCATAAGTTATGATGTGGAGAGATGGTGTGAGGTCTAGTTGAAAGAAGGGAAAAGAATGGTAAAAAGTTACAGCCAGTAAATTAATTAAATAGAGCCACATTATTCTGTCTGTACCATTTATCCTGTTGCCAGGTTAAAACACAGACATCCCCTTCCTTTGGCTATTCACTGTTTTCCACTTAGCTCCCTAATTGACCCTCTTCTCTCTGCTACCTGAATTCCTGACAATTGATGTAGGATTTTATATTTGCAACACTCAGTGAAGCAGAAAAATATTTCCCAGTTTCCCTCTGGTGACGTGAGTCACAAGGTAGGTTAAGTGAATTCTGTTTTGAAGGGAGGTAGGAATGGGATACCAATCCTTTGAACCTTAAGCTCACTGGTCACCACCAGACTGTTGACAGTAGTTAATTTGATACTGTTTATCTAACTGATCAATACTTTTTGGACCAGCTAGAAGCAATTGAGAGTCCAGGTTTATGCTGCATCTGAGACAAACCTATTGTTTCCATGCTGGCCACAAGGCAGAAGGTTTTCACCTTCTCTTTGTTGCTTTGTTCCCTCATTCTTACTCGCAGCTGCTCAAAGCTGGCTTCAGCCATTCCCTCCTCATTTGTGTTGGTAATTGTCCAGTTGTAATTTAAATCCAGTTCAACTTGGCATGGTAAAAATGTGTGCTTATTCAATCAGACTTGCTTTTTAATTTCAGTGAGTTGAACTGTTTCACTTTCTGGTGAGTAGAAAAGTGGACAGAAAGATGAAAAGGAGAGGGGTTTCCCTGTTTCAGCAGTGACAGGTTTTCCACTTGTCTCCAACTGTCTTCCAAGTTTCTGTTTTGTATAATCTGTTGCTAACTGATCAATGTTTTTTGTTACTGTGAGCTGGAGCCTCCATAGCAGAAAAGGCTTGGAGCTTCTGTGAGCTTTACCTGAGAATGTGTTGTAGTTTGTTAGTAAGCTCTAAAATGTGGGATGGGGCAGTCTAATCACAGGTAAAATATCTGCTGCTCCTTCTAGCACACCTGGAAAATAGTGTCATTGAGTTAGCAATGTGTATCCTAGCTTGGGCTGCTCTTATTTGAGTATTTTATGCTGGCAAAACACTACAAGCTTTTCTGAGCTGCAGTGCATGTCTTTGGACAGCTGTGTTATAATTTGCTCTAGGTGAGATTGGCTAACATGTATTCCTCTTGTTCGAATTTAGAACTAGGCAGCAGAGATGAGAAACAACTTCTAGAGCTTGCCTTAGAAGAGAAGGAAAGCTTGGATAGAAAAATGAACATGTTGTGCAGAAAGGTGAGCCTGAGGTAAAATTTTACAGCTTTGAAAATAAAGATGTCAGAAAAGCTTTCCTCTATGATCTTACTAATAGATTCTGACACTTGAGTTTAATGAAACAGAAGTCCAGCTTCTGTATTCTCCCTGATAAGAAGTGGCAACATTAATTATTAATGAGCTTCTTAGTGACAATTGTGTCTTAGGAGATGATTGAGTAATTTCTCTTGCTTGCTTGTCTGTCTTCAAATGCTGAAGGGGATTAAAAAAGTGGTGAGTCTGTGCTACTGAGATTTGACATAACATCCTAGTAACTGTGGTAGTGGACCATGCGCACTTGAGGGATTTCTGATTAGAACTTGCAGTCCTTCATTTTCTCTTCAGCTGACAGCATCCCATGAGTGGGGAAAATAAAAGCAAAGAAGTTGAAACAATTCAGTGGAGACCACTGTGTTTGGGCTCATTTCGATACTCAGACTGAAATAATACGAAATGTGACTTTCTGAAAAATAAGATTATTGTAAAGATTGTCTGGGTTAGTTAATAACTTTGTCTTCATAGGTAGCTGGGGCTGGGGTGAGTGACCTGGCACCTGACTTGGCAGGACTGGACTTTCATCTCGCTTTCATGTGGATGCGCTAGCATGTTGCATTTTCACACTGATTGCACTGAGTTGCAATGGTCATTGGACAGCTTTTAGTCCTACTTAACTAGCTTGTCAAAGGAAGGCAGTGGTTGTGTGTGCTCAGGCTGTGGCAATTCTGAAGTGTGGCTGTAAATTTGATTAAGAGAAGATCCAGGGTCATGACAGAGATAATGGCATTCTGTTTTTTTTTTCAGCTTTTCCAGCTTCTAGTGCCAAAGGAAAAATATGATAGAAGTCCTGTCATATTAGAAGTGACAGCTGGCAGAACAACTGGAGGTCAGCAAAGCCCCTACAGTGAAGATTACTTCCAACCTCCATCCAACACCATTAAACCTCTTATGGTTTATTCTTAAAGCTTTTTTTATACTTTACTGGCATAAAGTAATACTTTCTAAAGATGAGCATTAACCTGCCTAATGACTGGGGTTAGAGTTGCAGATAAATCTAAAAAGTGCTGTTTATGTGGTAATGCCTTTTAATTTTTAGGGGACATCTGCCAACAGTTCACTAAAGAAATGTTTGACATGTACCAGAGCTACGCCGACTACAAACGTTGGACCTTTGACATTGTGAACTATACCCCGGCTGAGATAGGTACAGCAGTTCTTCAGAGATTCCAAGACAACGGAATACAGTTTCTCTGCTGTATTTGTCATACACTATTTGTCTCTCCAGGAGGCTTGCATCATGCTGCTGCTCATATTTCAGGAGAGAATGTCTACAGGCATCTGAAATATGAAGGAGGGACTCACCGAGTCCAGCGAATCCCTGAGACGGGCATGTCATCAAGAATGCAGCGTATTCACACTGGGACAATGTCAGTCATTGTCCTCCCTCAGCCAGAGGAGGTAAACTGTTCATTGGTTTGGTAAGGGGAACCCTGCTCACCCATTTTGGCATTAGTGTAGGTGTTATTTAAAACTATGTTACTGTTTTGGGGATTTCATGATAACCAAGTGCTTCATGCAAGTCTCAGCAAATGAAACACAGTGCTCTGACTGGGAGGTGATAGTCCTTGGCTTTGTACTTTACGTGTATAAATGGATCATCAGAAGCAACTTTGCATAGATTTGATGTTGCCTGAAATGGCATGTAAGTGGGTGATTATTTCTTTTAAGTGTTCCAGCCCCAACACTGACAAGGCTCACTGCTGTGAGTAAGCCAATTTTAAATTACATCACATACTAAGACACAGAATATATCCAAGAAAATACTCAGTGTTCATAGTGATGGGATTCTGTACATCCTTTTGATTTTTTTTGTTTCATGTAAATTATTGGTGCTCTTCTCTGGTAAATCAGGGACAGTCTCCTTTGAATGTGTTGGCTAGTCTGTCTGAGATCTCACTGATATGAACAGTTCTCACTTAGACCACCATTTTACACAAAAAAATAAACAAAACCAGATCCTGTAGGCTTTTCCTGCACTTTCTCCTGCTTCTTCATTATACTTTACTTGCAACATTGATCAGATCTGAATGTTCCTTTCCCATCCACTGAGCTCAAACTATGGTCCAGGTCATCATGGCCTCCTATTTCCAGTGTGGCAGTCCTTACTTGAATAGATCTGGATATGCCTGTTTTCTCCTCAGATGATTCTAAGTACTGTTGCAAGGATCATTCAGGTTTGACTCATGAACAAGATCCTTGCACTGCTGTTTAGAAGTGGTTTTAAAATATTTGCTTATTTCTTAGCCTCTCTGCCAAAGCTAGTGGTTTTGCAAACTGTGATTGTGTTTTGTTTGACAAACACACATGCCTTGTTTTGTGAAGGACCTGGAGTAAGAATTTGAAAAACGAAGTGAAATCTTTAAGGCATCATTTGCTTTTCAGAGATATTTGATACTGCATTTTTTAAATTTTAATGATTATGATTGTTACTTAGGAGCAGTTGTAAAGGAGCAATTTTTTAAGAAGTCATTTCTTATTAATGCTGACTGTCACTGACATCCAAATATTTTTAGAATGAGTAGAAAGTAGTAATTTTCTTTGATTCTAGGTTGATGTTAAAGTGGATCCCAAAGATTTGCGTATAGATACGTTCAGAGCCAAAGGAGCAGGAGGGCAACATGTTAACAAAACTGATAGTGCTGTGAGGATTGTGCACCTTCCTACAGGTAAGTCTGGCTGTACTTTGCACTCTTAATCCCACTGACTCTGTATCTTGAAAAGGAAGCTTGTGATCCTGCAGGTTGTCTCTTGCAGGGCTGGGCCTTATACCAAAAAAAAAGACAAGTAGCCCCTTCTGTTTCTATCCCTCTTGTAGCCTGGCAGTGTGAGAAAGGAGCTGTGTACCAGGGGCACAGTGATTATGTCAGTTCTGTCTTCAGAGAGAGGGTTTAATGAATACACTGTCTTTGAAGGATGAAAGAACAAATGGAGGGTGACAGGAATGGGGAAGAAGATGTAAATAATTTGTACTGTATGCTCTGTACCTTCAGCAGTAATTGCCACTGGCAAGCAAGGGCATGCTTAGCCTAGCTGGAATCTGTGTAGTTACATGACTGATTAAAAAGAAGGCTTGAAGGTCTTCATTCAGTACTAGATAATGCTATCATATATTGGATAGAAAGGAAAATGTATATTGATGGAAGGACCACTCTGTCTTTTTTGGGATTTGTTTTATTGAAACTCAGTGGGCTTCTCTCCATAAGATGCAGAATCACTTTAGGCACGGGAAATAAGGCTCACCACTGTTAATTAGGCACCCATTTCTCCTAGAATAATGAATTTTCCAGTCTCCAAGGGCTTATCTGGACTAAGATTTTAAAAACTTGTGTTACACTCTTTTAAACAGGCTCTTGTAGACTGTTCAAATTGCATTTTTAACATATGACAGCTAATTGGAGTGAACCCAGTTTCTTACTACAATGTCAGAAACTTGATTGCTTAATGAAATTTTAAAATATCCCTGACTTTTCTGTAGCATAGAACAAAACCCGCCCGGTGCAGCTGTGACAAGTTTTAAAACGCACTAATGGTTCTAGCCAGTGTGTAAGGCCTTACAAACCAGCACTGCAGTAGGTTTCATTTGCCTAATGTGTCAGAATGAATTCAGCTTGTTTGTTCTGTGCCCTGATGGGCTCTGGGGTGCCTGTGCTTTGTGCAGGGCTGGCAGTGGAGTGCCAGCAGGAGCGGTCGCAGCAGCTGAACAAGGAGATCGCCCTGCGGACACTGAGAGCGAAGCTCTACCAGCAGGTGCTTGAAAAGCAGCTCAGTCAGGAGCAGAGCGCCAGGAAGCTGCAGGTGAGGCAAGCGGTGCTGAGATCTGTCTTGTAGATTTGTTTCTCATCTCTTTGGGTGGAGGGGACAGAGCAAGTGAGAGTGTGTGTCTAAATGAGGGGTGCTTGTAAGGGAGGAGAATCTTGTGCTTCAAAATGGTAAGTCTGCCTTTACTTAGCCCAGTGCAATGGCATTGTAGACTTCTCAGGCAATGAAAAGAGACATCAACTGTGGCTGGAAAGAAGGGTCAAAAGACTGGCTGAAAGTTTTCAAAAGGGAAAAGTCAACATCGTGTACTGAATGCCCCCATTAAGGCCAGAGTTGCACAAATTGCGCATCAGTAAAAAGTTACATTCGATAAAAACTAGGATCAGGAATTCTCAGAAGTTTCTAAAGGACACTATTTTAAGGCCATACGGAGGTTTTGAGAGAAACAAGTAAATGAGCAATCCTGCCACTATGCAATTAAGTAGCAGCTTATTTGATACAGTTTAGGTAACCTTTTGAGGAAGAAACAGCTTCTGGAAGAGTTACCTCAAGTTAGGCTGCAAAGTGTGCTTTTCGCTTGAAGTGTCCTGTCATTCTTTTCCCATTCTTTGAGTATTTTCCCATTTGTGGTTCAAACTTCAGCAGTGATCTATTGGAATAAAAATGCTTCAGAAGTAGGGAATTACTCAGTACTCCAGATTTTCCAGCTCAGCTATTTAGTCACTTATTTCAGGTTGGATTTAAGTGTATTGTCCCTGCAGATTATTAACCCCATCTTTGTAAGCAGTGAGCCATTTATCTTTTGTTATTAATTTCAGTTTGAGAGCCTTCAAAGCTGCATAAAATATTTATATTTATATTTATATTCATTTATATGACACGTGTGGAAAATAAGGCAAAAGTGAATTACCTTTCCTAATGCTTTGGAATTTATTCAAGAAATTCCATGTTCTAAATACATGTGTTGAGTGCAGATGAAATTTTCACCAAAGCCCACTGAAACGGACACCTATTTGTTTCTCTGAGCGTTTTTTAGCATTTAATTTTCCATTTTAGTGGAGACCACAGTGTTTGGTGAGGTGTTTAATCCCAACAGTGCTACATTTGGGTTTCTGCTTCAAGTTAAAATTGTTGTTTGCACTCTTACACTTCACCACTAGAGGGTAACTTCACTTCTTACTCTAAGTCTCTTTTGGTGCTAATGTCTGACAGCCACACATTGACTGTGCTGCTTCCATTATTAATGGAGCCTATTTTCATTATTTTGTGTGGAAGCTACATCCCTCTCTCCCCCCAGAAAACCCCACTTGGGTATTTTTTGAAGTAAGGGCTTTGGTACCTAACACAGCCTTTGAAAGCTGTGTGGTTCTTTCAGCTACAGAGGGGGAACAGAAATGTGCTGGAGGATGTAGAAACTTGGTGTGTGATACAGAATCACAGACAGTACAGCTCAGTAATGCCAAGCCAGTGACCACTAGGTTGGTAGCTGGAACAGGCTAATCTATTACAGTTTATTTTGAGCATCCTGTTCTAGAGTACTATTTGGTTTTTTTAAAACTCAACAGATTTTGTTTTTTTCCTGCTTTGCTGCAGTTGGGAACAAGAGCCCAGTCAGAGAGGATTCGTACTTACAACTTCACCCAGGACAGAGTGACTGACCACAGGATCTCATATGATGCACGCAATATCAAGGTAAGGGCTCCTTATGAGAGCATTCAGATACTCACATTTACCATAAAAAGAAAAAACTAACTTAGTGAGTACAAATTAAGATATAGATATCTGTCTATGAAGAAAGTAGCCAGTTTTGCTCTAGCAGAACACTAGATTTAGAAAGCTTAAACTTTCCTTCCTGCCTTCTTGTAGTCTTAGAGATTACTGGCACAGGCTGTAGCTCACTGGCTGCTACTTCTTTGTGTGTTTTTCTCCTACCATGTGAATGGAAAGTGACCAAGCATGTAGTTCTTAATGAGATCCATGAGTCATTTGGCCAAACTGGGCAAGTGACATTTGAGATTCTTGAAGCATAGTACATCCAAACCAAAAACCTGACAGGAAGGACTTTTTATTTTTGTTAGGCCATTTTTTCCTCCTCCTAATGCTGGAGTAAAGAACGAGAAAAGCTTTTATGTTTGCATTGCAGGCCACAGTTAAAAGAAACTGAAACTGGAATGTTTTAATTTTAAGATTATCTGACATCCTGTGTCTGAGTAAATATCTGCATATGGCTTGAATCTTACTGATTGTTCAACCTGGAAAACAGACAGCTTTGGGGTGACCTAATTGCAGCCTTCCAGCATTCAAAGGGAGCCTACAAGAAAGAAGGAGATTTTTACAAGACCATGTAGTGACAGGACAAGGGGGAATGGCTTCAAACTAAAATAGGGTACGTTTAGATTAGATATTAGGAAAAATGTCTTCACTGTGACGGTGGAGAGACACTGGAGCAGGTTGCCCAGTGAAGCTGTGGGTATCTCATCTCTGGAAGTGTTCAAGGCCGAGTTGGATGGGGCTTTGACCAACCTGGTCTAGTGAAAGCTGTCCCTGCCCCTAGCAGCGGGGGCTTGGAGCTGGATGATCTGTCCTGTACCTTCCAACCCAGGCCATTCTATCATTCTGTTTATTGGGGTTTTTTACAATGGGAAAAGACCCCTAATAATGGATTTTTAAAAAATTAATTTATGAAAAACAAAGTTTAGGGTGAGCCCTCAATATTTTGGCTTAGGTATCCACTTTGCTCTAAGCGCTATTGCATAAGGAGAAACACTTTTCCAACTGTACCCACAGGTGTCCTGGCTAACTCCAGAGGATGCAGGGCATACATGAATATGAAATGGCTCATAGTTAATGGCAGAGGAAATAGTTCCTCAGGGTTGCATAAAAGTGGCTTTTGTTAGTCAGTTCCTTAGTGTTTGGATCTTTCTTGAGTGAAACTGAAACCATAAAGTGCCTGACAAAAGTTAGTTGAGCTTTGCTTGCAAAACAGCCTCACTCTTGCTGTGGCCAACAGTATTTGAATGAGGTTCTTCAATCCTTGATTGTTCTTGCAGGGAATTTTCATGTAGGTACATGGGTTACATGAAACCAAGGCAGTAGCTGCTTTTATTGCTGCCAGAATCCATGTGCCTTGCACAGGCAGGCAGCTGATGTCCTGCTGCTGTCCACAACTGCTGCTTTCACATGGAAGGGACCTGCAAGGATGAGCAAGTGGAGGGACTGCAGGCAAAGTGCATTTCAGGGGTTTGAGTAGTTGGTGTTTCAGAATAATGCTGAAGAACAGTTAGTAATAATTTTGTCTGCTTTTGTTTTTCATAGGAAATTCTAAGTGGGAAAGAAGCACTGGATAAGCTAATCAACAGACTACTGGAGTTTGCAGAGATAGAGGCTGTCACCCAATATCTAGAAAATTTGCAGGCTTTAGAAGGAGGAGGCTGAAGACCTCAAGGAGAATTAAAACAGAATTGTTGTGTTTGGTAATTGAATAAAACAGATGTGTTTGTTAGATGATATGTTGATTAAAACCTATTACTCTGTTTTTCAGGGTGTGATACTATTCTTTTTGTATCTTGGTGCAAGTGGGTTGAATTTATTGCAGCAGCCCTGGCAGAAAAGCATCAGCTTGGAGTTCTGTATGCACACTCCTCCTGTCTTGGCAGCTGGGCTTTGTTAAGCTGATCCTTCTCTTGACAGTATCACACTGGAAAGGCACGGAATTGTGGTGGTGGAGCAGAATAAATACCACATAGTGCACTTTTTATTTGGTGGTGGGAGATGTTTCTCTCCAGGTGAAAGAAACTGAGCTCCCCTAACATAGTCTAGAATCTTGCCTCCTGAATACTATTTGGTTTTTTTTTCCACTTATTGTGTGAACTTCCTAAATTAAGTACCTTAGAAATAACTTTGTATTAAGATGCTTTATTTTTTTTAGAGTAAATATTCAAAAGCAAAGGGAGTGAAGGGGCCAGAATGTTATAAGAGAAACCTGTTAAATGTCTCCCAGGAACTCTTGGGTCAGCTTGTGGTGGGACTGGCCCATGTGTGCAGTGTAGAAGAATGTGCTCTAGTTTTCAATTAAATTTATGAGGTAACAGGCAGCTCCTTGCCTCCTGGCAGAGAAAATGAGTCCATACTGCAGATGCATTTCAACAAACCAGGTAGCTCTGGAATTGAGCTCCTCTCTTTGGGAATGTCTGCCTTTGCCTGTCCTTGAAGGGATCCAGGTGTCTACAGGGCACCCCTGGCTTTGGCAGGACTCGTGCTGATGTTTTGCCCTGCACGTGTGCGGCGCTGGCAGGCGCTCCTTGTATGCCTGACTCAGGAATGCTCCGTGCTCAGGGTGACACAAAGATTGGTGCTCTGCTCAGCTGGGTGCACTTCCCACATCATGGCATCTTTTCATCCTGCTTGTCCTGGGTTCTGCTGGAAAGCTGCTCTGCACTGTCTTCTGCATGAGAAGAACCAGTTCATTGTTGCAATTTAAATTATGCCTTGTGGTTGATTTTGATTTGCATATTTGTTTTGTAATCAGGAATGATGCAGTGTGAGAAAATGTTCTTCTAAAGGGTGTAGTTTTTATTACTGTCTATATAGCAACAATTGTAACACTATTCAACTAAGAAAAAAGATGAATTAAGAAAAACAGAATTTCTAAGAGGAAGAAAGCAGGAAAATTATACTCCGTTCCTCCATTCTGCAGTTATTTTCCCATTCTTTTATGTGTTCTTATCAGCACGCTTTGTCTGGCAATTTCTCTCTTGCTTCCAACACTGTAATTACAAAAGCTTTGGGGCTTCAGTTGAGTTGGTTGGTTTGTTTTTTTCTTGACTGGTTGCTCTGCAAGTCAATCAGGAAACTTATTATCATGCAATTCAGGATTCATTTGGACTTTGACTTCTTTCAGTAAGCAGTGCAGAAAAAGAACCCTCCAGAAAGATCTGCAGCTGAGCATATACTTCTTCCAGTGCCAACAGACTGGTAAGAACTAATATGATCAGCTGTAATAGAAGAATATCCAGCTAACATTGTTATCCAATTACCATTCTCACTTTCATTATGCAATTAAACGCACCAATCAATTTTATTAATTATATCTCTCAAACATTTCTAAGTTTCTCTTAAAACCTTGTTTAAAAATTTAAACAGTAGGACTCCACTTCCAGGATTAGTTAGTGTCTATGAAGTTCTTTGCTATGCAAAATCATCGAAACACTTAAAAATATGAGCCTCATTTATTTTACTGGAAGAAAGACAGTGATATTTCTGCAGGACCTTATGGATATTTGTGATTGATTAATCTTCTGTAGCCCTTTTTTGTTGATGGTTTTGTGCAGAGTGATGAGAAGAGGGAAAGCAGACAGCAGCTCCCCTCTTTACTAAGTTTTGGATGTCCTAAATACAGGTCTTGAAATTTAGAAGCTGAGTCCCTTCTGCCAGCTTGACCCAGGAAATCCTGAAGGGTCTTTGTCCTAAGCTTTTCCTGCAATTGCATAGACATGTGTATGTCAGCAAAATACTGCTATGACATTTGGGATAGAGTGGAAACACTTTTACTGGAGGCCACTGCCTGCAATGCTCTGCTTTACTAAAACCAGATATATTTGCTTTTTCTCACTGAGAACATGTTATTTGAAAGTGTTTTCTCCAAACTTAAAAAATACTTGAAGCCATATTTTATTCTAAGCTCTTCCACCCCAGCCTTTCTGTGGGATGTAAGAGCCGAGAGATTGTGTTTGACCGTGGCCTGGCACTTGTCCTCAAGGAAAGGGTGTGCAGCAAAACACTGCTGTTTCTGAGGTGTTTTCAGGATGGAATATTTCAGCTTGGGCTTTTTGGTTCCTATAAGCAGTCAGGACTTTCAGCAAGTAAATCAATAGCAGGAAAAATTACAATAACAAAGCATGGGGAGGAAAAGGGTAAACAGTTTATTGGGAAAAAACAAACAACAGAGCAAGAGGACGTTCCTCTGCTCAAAACAGCCTTTTCTTGCAGCTTTCCTTGTCAAATAGTGTTACAGCAAACATAAACTACCACCCTCTGCCTGGCTTCCCCTCAGCACTGCCTGGGACCTTACCCACAGACACCAGGTCACAGCTCGTGCAAGGCACCAGCTTCACCGCTCTGCAGCTCCTGCTGACTGATAGGAAATGTATTCCTGGACCTCCTTCATTCTCTGCTGAGGTCTCACACAGCAGTGTCTCACCCAGCCAGCAGGGAAGGCAGACAAAAGCTGTGTGTGCCTGGAAGCAGCAGCCCTTCCATGGCAGTGCAGGGATGGATGTTCACCCTCTGCAAAAGGAGGGCAGCCTGGGTACCTCGCCTCGATTGCTTTCATTGAGTCATTGAGTGTGCATCTGACCCTCAGAGCACTGCTCATTGTTCCTAAGGCCAGCAAATATATGAAGTACTGAATCACAGTTGGTTATAATCAAAAAGCTCACATATTCAGCTTTATTTTGAATGTTACTAACAGTAACTGCAACAAATCTTAACCTGAACTCAGTTAAAAACTAAAATAAGAATTTAAACCCGGGGTTTTTGTTACTCATAACTGATGCACAGAATAAACCAACATCCAGTTACTGCTTAAGGTGCTACAGGAAGGCACACAGCTAATTCTACTGGTGGCCACAAAATAAAAGTATTTATTGGTAAGAAGCATTTCTGTATTTACAGATCTATTTTAGTTTATATTTATCCCAGGCTCCATTTTGAACAGAATCTGCACCCCTAAATCTCCCAGGTTGCCCTAAACCCTCTGAACAGATGCACAATGGTACAAACACAGATTGTTCAAATGAAAGCTTTATTCAGTATTTTCATATAAATTCCACTTCAAGAGCTTGCAATACTTTGTAATTGCAACTGAGAAGAGAAACCAGCTGTTTAACTTTGCAGACATTACTTTTAAACTAAAACAAACGCTTTTCAATCACCCCAAGCAAGCCATTAAAATCCACTGTCTCCAGTCCATGGTCTGTAAAACATTGTCTGCTGGTTTTTAACAGGCAGGCATGGTTTTACAGGTAAAATCAAATCTGCTTTTGAATCCTGGGAATTCCCCAAATTCTCCAGGAATTTCTGAAATCTGGTTCTCTGGGAATCCTCCTTGGGCAAATTTAGCCTTTTTGAGATGATAATTTGCAACACTTTTTGCTTTGTACGGAAAATTTTATTCAAGTTCTATCCTGAAACATTTCACAAAGCTAAACCTGTTAATCACACAAACGGTTAACACAAATTCTAAGTTAAATAATTTAGCAGGTAGAAGGTAGGGGCACTTAAGAGGTAGATAGAAGCGAGACTGAAGAGGTCTGGCTGAGAAAACAGAACCCAAGGGTTGCCACAGCTGATAGAAGGAGGTATAAAGACAGCTTTTGTACCAACAAGCAAAGGGATCTAAGGGCTGCAAACCCTGTACGAGGAATGGAATCTGTCTTGGAAAAAGGAATTATCAAGGAAATCAAAAGAGCACATGTAAAGTCTTGAACTAGCTTGTGTGTTGTTGGAAAACAGACAGGGCTCTTCAGGGCACAGTGCAAACAGGCAGCAGAATCACTCCTGGGAGCCAGGACCTGGACACACGGTGGCTACAGAAGAACATGAAGCTTTCTGGAAACCTCAGCAGAGCAGGGCAGAAGTGAAGGAGGACAACAGAAACACGGCACAGCGGTGATAGAGATTTGCATATCTGGGAATACAGGAGGAAGACAATTCAAGGAAGACAGCAATAATAAGGAAAGTGCTAAAAAAGGGGAGACACAACTCAAAAAACACATCAAAGAAACCAAGCAGCATGAAATTGGTTTTTACTCCCTTTCTGAGATGCCAAAATTTGCACTGAAATAAAATTTCTTTCAGGGAAGAAAAAAGAAAGGAGAAATATTTATACATCCACAAGTTAGTGAATTTAACTCAGATCCATGTCATGATATCCCCAAGCCCTCCCACTTCTAAAACTGAATATTGGAACTGGATGATGCTGCAGGCACAGATTTTATATATGAGGGTCAAATAAAACTTTACCCTATTAGGAAAGTGTGGATTTCAATCTACAAACCCACAGGTGAAAGATTAAAATGTACTTTAGCCTAAATAGGAACAAGGATTATTTTATAACATGGCTAAAATTGAGCAGTCTCTGCACAGCTCCTGGCATAGCAAATGCTCAACAAAATAATTTTTCTTTTTTTCTGTATATGCAATGTATTTGCTTCTAAAAGCATTACCAACTTCAGGCAGGCCCTGCTGTAAAAACACACAGTCTTATGCTGTGAAGCTGCCTTTCTAAGCAGACAAGGTGGATGAAAACATGAGGCAAGGAAAGAAAAATACAGAGCTGTGAACTGACTGGCTCAAAACCACACAGAAGAAATCATAATCAGAAACTACAACGACTGCCCCCTGCTCTCTGGCTCTCCTAATATTGCTCATAGTGTCTATGACATCATACAAACCAACAGTGTAGTCAAGGAGCTTGCAATAAAAACAGGCAAGCAGATAAAAACTCTGTCTGATAGATCAGCCAGAAAAGACAACACTTGCCTGAAACAGTAAAAGGAACATTCCTTTGTCAAAAGCCAGCACAGCCCAAAGGAGGGTTAGCAGATGAGGGGCATAACAGTGGCAATACCTAGAGGGCTCCTATAGCAAATTCCAAAAGCAGAAGAATTTGCAGGGAGATGGGACAGAAGGGAGGGAGATCTGCGCAACACAGATGTCCTGGAAAAGCAACATCTGCCTTAAATCTCATACAAGACAGTATTTTTGTGTAGAGCAGAAAATATTTGGTTTAGATACAAGTAAGGAAATTGAATGACAGCATGGTGCAAAATTAAACAATTAGGTTTAATTAATTAATTAGGTTTAGGATATATCAAAACTCAACTGGCCCTTTTTATAACTTGCACTTAACAAAGAATTAACTGGTCTCTGACTTTCAGAGGTAGTGGAGAGCAAAGTGCTGTATTTCTTTGTGAAATGCAGGCTTTAAAAGTCACATCAGCTAAAACCACACGTATGGTATTTAAACTAACTTTACTAGCTGTAAGCAAAGAAAACTTTTAATCTTTTTTTCCTAATGTTCTGATCTACTTAACACAATACAAAGACCTTTGGCTCATAGTACAACTAACAGCAGCTCCACAAGGAAACAAGTTTTGAACACTCATTTTCAGATGTCTTTAAACATCTGCTAAAGAGATTTAGTTACAGGTATCTTAAATCGCTGCCTGTGACCACTTCAAAGTGACAAAGCATTTTGAAGAAAAGATGCTAATATTTTGGGAACCTCAGTAAAAGAGGAAAGCTATTCTCCTCAGAGGATATTAAAAGTGGAGCCTACAAGAAAGCCCTATACTATTTGATAAAACTGTACTAATAAACAAAAAGCTTTTCAGAAATCACAATGAAATGCATATACTTTAGGCTTGGAGTAACAGAAGGAGAATGAGTACAGCAGTACAAAAAATTTTCTAAGAAAAAAAAGAATTGTACTTTAAAGGGAAGCATGACCAGCTGGTAACACAGCAGCTTGCAAAAGCAAAGGAGCAGAAAGAATCAGATGTAGTGGGAAGTCACTGGTAAGGGTGCCCATGGCAGACAGTGTCTAAGTCATGTGAAAAGCAAATGAGGTTTAGGGAAGTATCAAGAGTTACTTTCAACATGCTAAGAAGTATTGGTGACATCATGACATCATGCATGGCCTTAATCAAGGTGAACTAGCCCAGGGAAATCCATCTAGGCAAGTGTAGTCCAGGCAGATGCAGGCTGGATGGGTGATGAGGAGCACTGGTGGGACACTGAAGATCCTGTCACACAAGGATGCTGTTTGTGATTTCAAAGAGAGAAGATGTGATGGATTCAAGGTGAAGGGAAGCTACTTAGCTCAAGGGCAGGACTTGTGTAAATTGAAAGAGTAAACTGGCCACAAACACAAGAAAACTTCAAGTTAGAGCAGGCTCCCAGAGAAATGCAGAAGTAAGAACAAACCCTAAAAAATGTGATTAAGAAACCCTCTCCTGGGAGTACATGTTGTACATTCCTGCATCTCAGACTTTGAAGCATCCTGCATGTGTCCTGCATCTCTAAATAATAATACAGGGTCAGATATTACAGTAAACTTTCAAATTTATCAGAACAAACATCAGCCAAAATACACCAACCCTGAGGAAGCCAAGAAAACACATGGGATTAAATACAATAATTAATTCTCTTCTAAATACAGTAAAAGTCACAGAATAGAAAAAAGAACTTCAACTTCCACTGTAATACGGAATAAACCAGATTCTCTCTCCTGCACTCCTTTCTCAATTGAGCCAACAGATTAATAGTTGTTTTCTCAAAGAAATTCAAGCTCAGCAGTTACCAACTCTATTTTACTGGACTCTTGGCACTTGCCTTAGCTGCATTCCTTCTTCTTTTGACTGAGACTCTCCTGAACAAAACACTGTGAGCTTCAATAATAGAGACATAGTTTTTAATAAATTCATTATTTGGACCTTTCTGGTTCACTGATGGCTAGAGAAGCAATGAGTGCAGCTATATTCTGACACAGACAACAAGTTCTGGTGATGCTAAATGCAGACCAATCCCCACCAAGTGGGACAATCCTTAAGAAAACATTCCAAGTCATCTTGGACTCTACAGCCATCAGCTCTGCTGATCTCTTGGTTTCCTCCCCTATAGTACTGAGAATGATGAAGCTTCAACACACTTAGGCCCTCTCAGCTTATCAAACACTGCAACCATAAAACACACACTTCTTATCAACAGAAAAAACACAACCACATCAAAAATGGTCCTGTATGCTGTAGCAGGGCCAAGTCTCTATAAGTACTTTTTCATTAAAATATCAGGCAAGTGGGTTTTTTGCTAGGAAGTAGACAAAAAGAAAGCAAGACTAAAAAAGAAAACTTGATAAAGTAAAAGGAAGGAAAAATTCAAGTAGACAACAATAAATCAGGAGACAGAAGACATCACAGAAATGTCTACTCCAACAGGGGTGGCTCTGGTGCTGTTACTACAAGTTAGGATTCATCAAGGTTAGATTTTCTGCAGAGGTTTAATACATTTACTATGCACATACACAAATAATTTTTCAGAACATCATTTGGAATGGGTGGCACTGATGTGACTAACTCTTCTAAAAACAGCTTCTAAATGATCAGTTTGAAATGCTGGCAGTCTCACCACCCACTCTTTTGCAAATGATCAGACGAAGGTTAGTAAGCACAATATTCTACTCGTTAGTGAGAAACTACACCACATAAACAATCTTGGGGGATGATTTTACTCTCTAGTATACTCTATTGATCCAGTTCCTCTATGAAAATAAAAGGTCTGCTTCATTTTTGTCAGATTAAGGATTGCTACATTCTCACATACTTAGAAAAGGAGTAAAAAACCTTATGAAATGTATTTAAAACAGCATACACAGAGCAAATAGAACTTGGATGGCATGGTTACAATAAAGAATGCAAGTATTTACAATATTGCATAAGTAATTTAACACAAACTTCCATTCCAAAACCAATCACATCAAAATAAAATAAAAAAAATATTAAACTCACTTATGTTTTATTACCTATAAATCCTTAACTTCTATCCAACACTTTCTTTATAAAAGCCTGTTGAAAATATTAAACTTTTGATTCACTCTAGCTTAAACAGAATCTAAAATGATTTGTTAAGTATTACTGATCACTTAGTCTTTGTCTTAAGTTTCTAGATTTTCCATTTTCAAATTTCCTCTTCTTAAATGTTGGCACCCCTTCTGTCAGGTCTCCAAGGGAGGTGACTGTCTTCTCTTTAAATATGACTGTTTCCTCTTCTGGATCCTCTAGCACTGGGGGTGCTACATTGTCACTCTCTGTACTTGGAAGCTCCAGGTCCACTTTTTCACTGGAAGAAGAGAGGAAAATGTGAAAGGGTTAATCTACACGGAGAAAACAACATGGTGTACTGCAGTCAGCAACAGCTATTTTTATTTCACAAAACAGCTTTGAGCTAGATGCAGTCTTGTAGTTATCATTACGACAGCCATCAAGAAAAAATACCCATGTTCTTTCTTTCTTCTGTGTGGGCTGCCATAAAAAGTAACAAATGAATACCTTATTCTGTACAGAACTTATAGCATGGCCCAAGCACTCATTGTGTCAACAGTCCTGCAAGAGATAACAGGGCTGTATGTCTGTAAATTTAAGACTACTGAAAGACAGGAGACAGTGAGTAGTAGCAGTGGTTCACTGCCAGAGCACCATTGAGTTGTCTGCCTCAAGTGCCCATTCTGAAGGGAATGCATGGCAGAAGAGAGAGCCAGCTTACCAAATTAGACAGTGATCCTAAGCTGGGAGAGGTGGCTTCGGAGGGCAGGATTGCAGCCAATACTGATCCAAACAAATCAAAGACAAAAACTAAAAATGACCTATCAGTTTTAAGAGGTCAGCAGCAAAACACTGTGTTCCACAAGGATAGCCCATGGCACAAATGTATGACAAAGAAGAAGAACCAAAGAGCTGGCAGAAAGTTACCTAAATCACAGGTATTGCACCAGCACAACACTGCTGCAGAGACATTGGCCAATCCACACAAGAATACTTTTGCTACTACTGAGTGTTAGCCTGGTGTCAGCTCGTGTACTACACCCAGTCTGAGGTTCCATGCTTCTAGGAACACATGGATCTGGCTCAAGCACCCAAATAGGAGCCACAAGAATGATGGCAAGTCAAGAAAATGTGATTGTTGTAGTATCCCAAAAGTGTAAACTTTCTGGAAGTGGTTGACACTGTGGTTGGCCTAGACTGAATTTAAAGTAAATAATAATAAAAAAAAAAAGGAACAAAAGATCCACTACAGGCATTATGCAGAAAAACAACCCTTCTGATCAGATGCACTTCATGAAAACATCTGCAGTTCATTGGTCTGACATGGGGGAGAGAGAGAAAGAGATCACAGGAACTCCTGGGGCAGCTGAATCAGTTTGTTGAAGGAGATGATGTAAGGAACATAACAGAGTAGCAACATTTAAATATTTGATACTCAGCCTCCGAAAAAACAGTGCATTACTGTGATTCTTAAATCACTTCCATTTACTTTGTACTCATGGTGAACTTGTGCACAAAACTCAAAACACCACCTCTGTCTGCAATGGGGAACTATTACTTAAAATAATCATTACGAAAAGAATTGTATTTGGGCAACATTTCCAATCACAGTTGTGCTTAATTCTGCCAGAATTCAGAGGAAAAAGCTTCAGTTCTTGCAAACAATATTATGAAAATAAGGACGGTAAAAAGATACTCACCCTGCTTCTTCTTCTTCTTGTTCTTCCCCTACTTCCTTAAGTGCTTTCCATTTCCCATAAGGGTTGGTCTTGTTAGATCCATCACCAGAGTTTTCTTGGGAAGCTGATGTACTCTCCTCTTTATCTGTAGTTTCTTCTGACTTAACTTCTCGCCATTTCCCATAAGGGCTTAACTTTTTAGCTTTGGGAGATTTCCCTTCCTCTGATTCCTCACCATTATCTCCTTTCCTCTAAAGAGGAAAAAACCCATCTTAAGCAAAAAAGCCTAAATAAAAACATAACGTAGCTTTATTTTACATCTTTTATTTGGTACTGTTATTATCTACTTAATATCTACTATTCATGCTTTTCAACCAAGCGTAACTTGAAGCAATAAATTCATATTGCAATATAATCCACATACTTTTCTTCTTGAGCTTTATAGATGCAAACAAAATCTTAAATGTTACAAGAAATTAAAGCAGGAAAATCCCATCTACCAAGGCTGAAGTTAGCAAACTTACAAACTCACTTGAAAACAAAGCTTAGCATATCTTAAAATAAAGAGGAAAAATTTCAAATACAACTTCCTCTACATGCAGATACACACACTTATTGCTAATACCTGGTAGCAGTTTGTAATGATACACAGTGATACTGTATGTGTTTCACAATTAACACCTGTCGAGGAATACATTTTTTATTTAAACTACCTCTGTCTGTTCTGAATTACCAGCTTCAGAGAAACCATCTAACCCAACCAGAGACATTATCACATGTTTTATCTCAAATTTTTAATTTATGTTTTAAATATATAATTGATACAGATTTTATACTATGTCCTATGTTTTTTCTCAATTTAATAAGGAAACTACAACCATATGATTTTCAGTCCAAAGTATTCTCTGAAGATCTATTGGCAGTCACATTTACCAATGAAAGGTTGAAGTCATCCTCACACTGAAATCCAAACCATTTTGTGGATTATTTCAGAGAGATGACAGTGACCTTTCTCAGAGAACATCACATGTCTTGTAGAATTCAAGGTACTTCTGGTGTGTTGAAGGAAAGATCATGCTTTCTATTCTGGAACAATGCCACTAATGAGCCAAATAATTGAATAAAGATTCATTTTATTAAGAAGTGCAAAATTTTACTTTCAGTCACACGTTTTAGTCTCATTTCAGTAAGTACAGCCTACCACAAATCATAAAAGATTCAGCTATAATTTTCTAGTATAAGATCATGTATGCAAAATAAATCTGAAGAAAACTTACCTTGAAGTTTGTTTCTGAACTCTCTGTTTCATCCTCACTATCTTCTGAGTCTGATTCAGATGCTGTTTCTGCACGTTGACCCTTCTCATTTGAAGATGAAACAAAACCATCCGGTTTCTCCCATGTGGATACTGTCCAAGACATTTGAACAACCACATTATTTATGCTTCTTGTTTTGATCTGTTATTGCTTCAACAACATAACCTTTCAGAAGCAGTGCTGCCTTATGCAAAAATACAGCAAATAATTTAACAAAAGGCTTTTGCCTTTGTTTGGTACATTTGTTTTAATAACCATAATCAGAAAGATAACATTTCTTCCCAGCAGAGACACAGTCAGGACAGCTGAGTTTACTGTTGATAAAGCTTGTTTTAATTAGCTCTTACAAAAAAACATCACACATGGCAAACTGTGACCCTCTCATCCTTACCCAACACAGACAAATAAATTAATTGCCCTGTAGCTGTGCCTATTTGATTTGATTACAAGGACATGACAAAGTAAAGAATGATAACTGCAAGCTTCAGATCTCCAGGCAGCTAAACCCTATTCTAGTGCTACTTTTCTTAGTAATATTAGGTCTCTAATTAAAAGAGCTCTCATGCAAACAAGGAAATACAAACATCAATCTGAAAAGACATGGAAGTACGGACACGATATATACATACACATATATCCTCATTTTCAATTTAAAAGTAGTATTCCAGTATATACACTGAGAAGAAATACTCAAATAAAAGTTGACTCAATGGTCTTAAAACTGGTTTTAGTAAGAATATGGCAGAAGTACACCAACTTTCAGTCTATAATTTTATATAAGCTTTCAGATGTAAAAATCCCTACTTTTTTTCCTAACTGCAAAAAACACAACATTAAGTGCCTAGATGTATCTTGAAGAAGCAAATATGTAAGAAACTGGCAATGCATGAATTTGCATGAAGAGTGCAGTCTCTTAAGGGTACTGCTGTCACCTGGCTTCAGATTAGGAACTGAGCACGTCCACCTTCCCAGGTGCCTCATAAAGAGTGCAGTAGGTGCAGCCTTCCAGACTCATAGCACCAAGCCTGGAGCCATCAGTCCCCTAAGTTAGGTGATTGACACGAGACACTTATAACTATTTATATCAGTTAAAAATTTGTTTTATCATTGGAAGATGGGATTACTGTTAACAGAACAGAGAAGTAATTTTCAAACAGTCCCAAGACACACAATTACAGCTATATAAAAGTGAGGGATTTTGAAATCTCAAAAGCCAAAATTCTGCCAAATGTGATGATTAGAAACATTCTTCACAGGTGTCATATGTCCATGAAGTACTTAAAAGAACAGCAAACATAGTCAAAAATGTATCTGAACTTGAAAGGCAATCTTTAAAAATAACCAACATCTCCTTTCCCTTTCAAAAGAAATTGCAAATCCCTTGGGCAGGGGAGTGGCCCAGTGAAAAATGGAAAGGTTTTGGATTAGTTTTATTGGTTGTTTTTTTTGGTTGGGTTTTTCCCCCCCCTATTCTTGGCATCATTAGCAATGCCACTTCATACCCAACTGCAGAAGGAAAACTCATAGCCAGCAAAAAAACCCACTTACTCTCCAGAGAATCATCATTGACCTTAAAATTATTCAAATAGATTTAGAAAACAGATGCTATTCTGAGGGAGTTACCACGAAGTTCCCCATGTAGGGAGAAAAGAAGTAGGAGGTAAGATTCTGGACTTTCTTATCAATGCTATGTCAGCAAGAGGAAAAGTTTAGGAGATTCTTAGTCAGTTCTACATCCCCATCAACACAAAATCCTCCCTTCTTCTAGTTTCCAAATTGTAATTTCAATATATACGTAGTAAAAATGAATGCCTAGTTTAGAATTGCAAGTTGAATGTCCAAAAAAATCTCTGAAGCAAAAATGTATGCACACTGACAATGCAGCCAGAAAGCCAGTGCTGACTTAAGCAACTATTTTATTCCAACTAAGCCAGCAACTAAAAAAATACAAAACTTAATAAATAATTCAGCTATTTGCAAAACAAAAAGAGATTTTTTTTGAAAACCCTCTCTCCTGACACAGTATTTAAGAAGAAAGTATTTACCTCCAGTTTGTGTGTTATAGTAATAGGTATGACCATCTTCAGTGACACCTTCCACCCATTCTGCTCCCTAGGAAAAAGATACAGGAGCTTATGAAAAAAAAGTTTTCAGGATCAGCCAATGCATCACTTAAGAAGTCTATTCAACACCTGAGTACTTTTTGTCTGTGAGCACCTCACTGGTTTAAAGCTTGAATCCCTAATGTTGTTAGAAAGTACTTCCTCTGACTCCAAGAAGATGGAATTCCACAACTTAAAATACTGCAAATGCACCTACACAATTATTTCTCAAACAGTGGATAATTAGTATGAAGCTGCATAATAATTGTTGTTGTACTGTTTAAATTTTTATACAGGCCATTATTTTACATGTTTGGGTTTTCTCAAAGTATTCACCCCTGAGGCTGTAATTTCCTATTTGTGTCATTGTCTTCAGTGGAGACTGCTGAAAAAATTCTCCAGGAGACTTAGGTCTTTGTGAGGGCTACAGAAAACTAGTACCAATAAATTTTATCACAAATTAAATATACCCAAACAAATAAAAATTTATCCCAAACCTGAACATTGCAACAAATAATTATAGAATCAAACTTTGCATGTCAACAATTTTACTTCTTTACTAAAGCACCAATTTCAACAATGCACTCTTTTTCCCTCCTGGTTAATAAATAAACATGAAATGTGGCTGAACTTGCTGGTATATCTTTGTGGGTATGTATTTTTTTTTCTTTTTCAGGATCAGCTACAGTTATATAATCAGTCATTACACATGCTCTAACATCTTCCTTACAAAACCAGTTTTCATCCCCTCTTACACACACAACTACTTCCCTGCTCCTTAAGTACCAATACTGCCAGCTCTGTGTTGGGCAACTTCACCATATATTGTTTTGGTATTAATAAATGTGTATGTGTATACAGACATATACAGGCTTTTGCATACCTATACATTTGCTTAATATTGTTGTTAAAACTTTGGGGTTTTTTTAATAAAATCACAGTACAGTCAGAAGCTGAAGTTCTTGCACCCACTCTGTAAGCACAAAAAATTGTACTGATAGTTTCAGAGCAGGCAAAGGCATGAAAGCCTTCAGAATCACGCTTTCTAAAGGTTTTGCCCCCAGAAGTTTCAGTGTGCTGGTTTTGACAAAAGAAGCAAAAGGAAAGTTTATTTTAAGGATAAAGAGGCTAAAAACATATAACATCTCTTTTTATTAAGAATTAGATCCTGAGCATTTGTAGACCTGTTGGTTAGAGGTTTTCAGCCAAAATCTGACACCGGCACACTGAGTGTGACACAAATGCTAAGAAGCACACTTTCAGTCTAACTGGTTATAGGCAGCCTTCAACATGCCCCTTCCTGTCCTCCCCACTGCTTACCAAGTCTGAGCAAAACCTAACATGCTGTAAAACCAGGAGGGCTCCTGGCACAATGTGTTGCAAGTATGCCCTTTAATTTCTGGGCAGTGAGTCCTTGCTAGAGATCTGGAATGTTCCCAATATCCTTAGCTCAGACTAAATAAGGGAGCAATCAAATGCTTGTTTTTAGTGATAGCGAAAATAACTCAAGACAGGACGAAGTCACTGTGCACGGTGAGGGAGGAATGGCAAAATACAGCTGTGTGGTGTTAGAGATACTGGGGGCTGAAGGTGTGTGCTTCTGATATGGCCAGGATGAGCTAACTTCAAACTGATGCCAAGAAGGGAGTGCCTTCTCGCTCCCAATCTGCTCTGCCCACATTGGCATTTTTTCTGATTATTCAGAATGCTGATAGCAGGGAAATAAGTCTCCAAAGCACTAACCTAAACTCTGATGCCTTCACTGCCTGCACTAGGTCACTGTCAGGGTAAATATGTACCAAGGACCATACAAGATTAGTTTCAGGACCACATCTTTCAGCGGAAGGCTACCGTAAGACTGACTTTACATATTGCAATGCTATGCATCGACTGCAAAGATAAAGTTGAAGTGCTCATTAACAAGTTGTTCAAAACCACAGGACAAGGGAATCAAAAAACCAGAGTAGCACACAATGTAAAGATAGAGAGCTACACAATGTCAAGCACTCTGAAAACACCGAGGTTTTTTTGAACTCTAGTGTAAAATCCAACACTGGCAAACCCAACAAAACTGACATCAAATTAAAGAGTATATATGACACCTGTCTTGAAAACAGGGAAATGTAACATCACAGGAATGTTGGAAAAATCCTGGTTTTAATGCTGTGAAGCACAAAAATCCTAGAGTGGTAAGTATCATGGGAAAACATATTAATCATAACTTTTTCTGCCTTTGGAATATTCTGCAAGTTTTTCCATGCCTCAAATAAGGAAAATTAAGTAATGTACTAAATACTAATTTTGCTGAATAATTGCTTGCATATATGTTCCATGATCATAAGAAACCCAGTAAAAATACAATTTATTATGTAACTGTATCACAAAGCAAACACAAAAAAATGGACATTCTTTTTTCTTAACTACCTGACAATGCAGTCTCAGTATTGCCTTGGATTAAGGAAGCTTATCTACTTCTAATGTGTAATGTTTTTATAGTTTTACATTTATCTATTTATATATTTATTATATATAAAAACTATAAATAGCTTTTTATAATTACATTTCATTCAAAAAAGGTTTAACAGAATTTATTCAGAATTTCCCAAAAGCTTTCCATTTTATGGGTTGAAGCACAAAAGAAGTATATTCTGCAGAAACCCCACCATCACTAATTACTTCTCTTCCCTTGACAGACAAATTAGCCAAATAGGATTTCTATAGTAAAACTGCAGTTTATCATAAAATATTCTACATATTGAAATTATATTTTCCTAACTTTAAAGGGCAAAAAATGTAGCTTCATCAATCAGACAACTTGCAAATTGCTTATATTATTTAAGTGTTTACAAGGACAAAGAAAACGATCAATAATTTGATTACCGTTTGTGAGTTTTGAGAGTTGCCTTGGAATCCTTTAGGTTTCTCCCACTGTGATTCTTAAAAAACAAAAGCACATTTCACTGTTTCACATCGTTCAATTTCATTTATATTTAATAATTTTTACTAAAAAAAGATCTAAAGGATATGACACTGCTGTGTGCACACATATAAACAAATTATATAAATATATATACACCACTCTGGAATATGAATAATCCTTGACCAAACGATGGTATGAACAATAAACCACATAATTACAGCTGGCTCTACTGGAGCTAACAACCCTCCAGACCCTATTACTATGCCTGATACAGAGATACAGGATTTTTGGTTAAAAAAAACTTATGAAATACTACAGTAAATACTAATGCCAATTGTTAAATTTATAAGAAATAGTTTGTAACATTATCATTAATCATAAAAGAGGGTTGCTTTTATATTCTAAAGTAAATCACAACATAAGCTCCTCAACAGAAGTCAGTTAGATAAATCCTGTAAATGTGGAAAGACACAATGAGTTTATTTCACATCCCTGATCACAAAGCTTCTTCAGGAAGAACACGGCTATCTTTGTGTACTTAACCCCTGGCAAGCTAAACATTTCCAGAAACTGGAATTACTGTATTCTTCCACTATTAATCAACAGTAAAACCAGGCTGAAATTCTGGATACTCAAGTCTCAAATGCTATATACCAAACCTCCATCTAAGTGTTCACATTTTAATTAACAGCATACTACTGAAAGAGCAGAGAAGTAAAAAAAAAATGCAGATAGTCTTTTCTCACTTATATTTGGTAGTTATATCTGCACTTGCTCCTCAGTAGCTTTTACCTCCAGTTTTTGTGTTGTAGTAGTATGTATAGCCTTCAGGAGATAATCCTTGCACCCACTCCTTCGTTTCAGTTTTTGATGGCATTGAGGCGTCCTGAGGTGTCTTTTTTTTCTTTTCTTTCTTTTCCTTCTTCTCTTTCTTTTCTTTCTTCACTTTAGTTTCCACTGTGTTACTCTGTGTTTTACTCTGTGTTGAACTGGAACCTACAGCATCTTGGAGAAAAAAATATCCTTGAAATAAAAGTACTATTCTGAACTTAAAAATTAGTCACTCTTGCACAACAGAAAATATGAAACTTTGTTCTTATGAGTATTTTCACTAATGAGTGAAAATCACTAGTATTATACTCCTAGCAGGTGCACTTAAAAGACTATATTAAAAGCATCTTGCTTTATACCACTACTATAGCGTCATAACAATGTCCAAATTTAAAATGATGAGTTACCAAGAGAAAAATCATAAGGACCAATGAGCTCTAACTGAACAACAAAAGAGAAAATGAAAGAGTTATGAAAAAGACAGCTGCTATAGGGGCCTGAAACTACAAACTTGTTTTTAAAGGATAATATGTCTTCACTGTCCAGAACAAAGGTACTTGCTGAGCTGCAAGTTGACTAGGAGATTCTCATCTCCACTGTTTCACACCAGTGGGAAGCCAGCCTCTCCTACTCATGGGAACTTTTGCCTCCAACCGGCAAAAGTGAAACATAAAATTAATCAAAGGAAGCTGCACTGCTGATTCAAAGCACCAACTACAGCCTTTCTGTTAACACACTGTTTAATTTTTCTACTCCAAATTTGATGTTCCATGGATCAGGGGATACCATAGCTATAAATACTCTGTACTGCAACTTCTACTACTGGCAATTTGCAGACTCCCTTTTTTTAAAATGAGCAACAGTCCTGGAGGCCTTCTCTCTCACTCCTAAACCTAATTTAAGACAAAACTCTCCTATTCAATATTCTTTCTATTCAATTCTGTCTTTAATCTTCTGGCAGCTGTATGAACTACCTGGCTTAATTCCAAGCCTTTTCATATCCTCTTGATATGCTTTCATTGCAGCCTCCTCCATTGCTGCAAATTCTTTTGACATGTTTTCTTCTTCTTTTGCCTTTTCCAAACTTTTCTTCTTAATCTAAAACAAACAAACAAAAACAAATCCCAAGAGAATAAATTAAACCAACCTGATAATGAAAAAGAGTAAAAATAAGCATTTGTGCAATTAAGATATTTGAGTTACCTCACTAATTCTCTTTGCCACATTTTCTTTATGATTCTTTCCTCTTTCATGAAAGTCAATGCTCTTCAAAGTAAGAAAAAAACCAAGAAAAGTAATATGTATTATACAATTTTAAAACAGTTAATTTTAGTTACTTAAAATTTAGTTGAACTAATTTTAGTTGAACAAGCCTAAATGCAACCTGTTCTGAGAAGACCTACAGCAAACACTACAGCTCTAAAATGGCTATAGGAATACAGGAACACTGAGAAACATTCAAAAGAGAAATTATAAAATCTCATAGTATTAGATTCTATGAGTAATCTCATAGATACTATATAAGATTCATTTTTTTTTTCAAATAATACTGCTCAGCACACATGTTAGAGAAAAATAACAGGGAATCTGGGTTCCCTCTTCATGCTATCCTTCCACGTATCATCAGGACTTTTTTTGTCCCTGTTCTCATGCAAGCCTTTAAAAACCATATGGGTTATTTAGGGTTCCAAGTATTAGCTACTGCTCTTAATTACATTAGGCTGCACTTCAGAAATATCTCATGAATTTAAACTAATCTGCAGGTTCAAAAATCTGAAAAAGAGAGAGAAAAGGAGGGAAAGGCAAAGTGTGAGAGCTGGATAACTAAGGACAACAGAGCAGTCTGCAAACCAAAAAGCTGCCAGAAAGACTGACACCAGTAGGAGCTGGAAGGAGTTCAGAAGCTCAGGTACAACAGTGGTAGTCCTCATGTGGTGCTCACATAAAAACATCTGTGCTCATTTGGGTGTTCAGATGTTAGATGCCTAAGCCTGACCTTTGCACAAACTGATGTGCAGAGGATGCACATCCCAGGATGACTCATCTCATTTAGAGACAGAATTTACAAATTGCTCAAATTCCTCCCTTGACATGTATTTCTCTTCACTTACTCCGAGAAGATACCTGCAGTTCATGTGAGCTAATTAGGTATCTTACTGTAAGCCAGAGGAAGCTCAGCAGCTCTAGGGGTATCCCTGGCATCCAGCCAGGAATGAAAAACCTACTGCTAAGGAAGACACCAATGTGTCTAGTAGTCTGCAAAAGGCATCTGCAAGTCTGAAACACCCTTCTGTAACCCAGTAATGCTTCTGTGGGCTGTGTGAAATGGAAGAAAACTGCTTTCAGAGCTCAGAGCACTGGCTGTACTGTGCCTACCACATACAAACAGTACAGATGCCAGGTTTTGCTTTCTACTTGCACATGAAAGCGAAGGACAGGTGCAGACAGTTTCAAGACAGACCAAATGTTAAGTTACAGAACTCGAAGAATAAGCAGGGTCAGATATTTAGTCCCTATATGTACTGCCAAGGAGAGCAGCAGACACCATCATGTATATGGGTATCCGGTTCTGATGTAATATATTTAAAACACTACAAGTATAACAAGGGCATTTTTATAGAACAAATTTCATGCATCAACAGACTAGTATAAAAAAAGTGATGTTTAAAGCCTGTAAATCAAATTCCTAATATTTCAAAATATGGACATAGTATGGTAGACCATCGTACAGGTCTGTTGTCTGCTATCCAGCACTTGCAGTAATCGCAGAATTTTTTAGGCTGAGATTTCCAGTAATCGGCCCTGGGGAAAGAAAAAAAAGATATATAATCTGAAACAATAACCAAAGCCACAGGTTTTCATATCTATTTATATATATATCTTCAGAAACTAAATTTAGTCTTCATTGGGTGATTAAATACTATGAGTTTGGTTTTCTTTTTTTTTTTTAAACCAGGTCTACCAAGGGTAGCTGTATTAACAACTGTGTCTCACGAACCACAGTTCAGTATTGGGATTTTGACCACCTGACCTCCAAAATCTGCAGGAATTTTACAACTGAGGCAGTGCTGTAAGAACCAGAAATATGAGACAAAGCAAGCCAGAGAAAAACAAGCAGCTCTAGTTACCCCATTTAAACATGGAACAGTCAGAAAAGTGCAACTTGCACTGTTTTTCATAAAAATGCTGGATACTGTACACAGTGAACTCAGCAACACAAAGTTGCAGTTCTGGACAACGCTGAGCTACTGTGGGGAGTGAATCCCGGACCAGATTCTGACCTGTGGGGTCACAGACACAGCAGTAAATTGTTTGGATTTTTTACACTGAAAGCACTGTTTGGTTTGAGTGTAAAAAAGCAGGAATTTCTGAGCCATGTAATTAGATAAGCGAGAAAACTTGGGGAAAACTCTTCAGAGATGAAAAGTTAGTATATCAAAGTACTTAACAATAAAACCAACAACTTCCAATGGCTGTTTCTTCATCAAAAACTGCTTTCTAATGCCAGATGAGACTTATGTAGAAGCAATTCTATTTCTCATTGGCTTGCAGGAACAGACAATGCTTTGGCTCACCAGAAGACATTTGAACAACAGAATTAAAATTACAAAGAATGAGGGACAAAATTAAAAAAATATTCACAATTATGCTGATAACATCAGAAAAACTGAATCTTGGCCTTTTGTCTGTAGAACACTGTACAAAGTTCAAGGAAAATACTTCCTGATATTGACTAAAACCAAAACATCTTCCATGCACAACAATAACACCCTCAGTCCTTATGATATGTGTGAGTGGATCTTTAATTACAGAAACAGACCAGATCAACTCAACTCCTACAATTGTAGCAGATATCAAAACACACTCTCCCACCAGTGCTTCACACAAAAATACAATTGCCAAGAGGCTATGAGTATTTGAAAGACTAAGTACAAATGATGTATTCTGCAAAAATATATCAACCTATAAGCAACAGCACGGTTAGCAATGCACAGCTTTTCAAGCAATTTCCTGGAAATCTAGAAAGAAGCAGCTGGGCTTTCCTCTATTTAAACAGAAATCTGCTCATCCCTAAATGGTGTACTTTAGAACTGTGTGATTACTTAGTCACACATTTAATTAAAAGGGTTTTTTTGAGACTTATACCCAAACATACTGGGGCAAAGCCCGAGAAATCTAATGCTCTGGCTGGAAAACCAGGTGAGTGTGAGGGAGAAATTCAAAGCTCAGAAATACCTCAAGTTCCCTTTTCCTGCTTGAGGTATAAATTGTCTCTAAACTCTTTGACATCATCTACAATAAATTTCCAGCTAAATGCAGGGTTAAACTTCCTATGGCAATAGACCAATTTTGATAGAAAACATAAACTAAAAAAAGCCTCACTGCATGTTTTGGATGTGCAAGAACCTCTGCCTTCTTCCAAGTTTAACCTAAGACAGGAGGCTCTTTCTCTTCAACAGAATCAAATGTAAGTGCTAAAATTAAGACTGTACAGCTGCACCCACCACAAGTCAAGACCTGAGAATTTGACAAGCAGTATTTTCACAGCTCTATTTTACACCAATTTCTTTCCTAAATGCTGCTGGCCACCACATCTGTTGCAAACCACTGTAGCAATACATAGAGTAATCACTCTGGAGAACCTGAGGGCACACCTGAGGCTTCAGTACAAATCCACATCTTGATATAAGTCTTTTAGTCTCGTCTCATATTGGCTTTCATAAAAACTCTCTCTCTACTGTTACATATAAAATAAATGCAAATGGTAGCGTGCACAGCTATCCTAAGAACCTTAAATGCTGCAGTTCATGATTAATGAAATTGTGTAACTTAAGATCTCAATTCTGTGGCTTATGAGCATGAATTTTATATACAAATATTTATCTTAAAGATTTTCTACTTGAGTTGACACCACTGACAATAAAAGAGCAAGCTCAGCTGAAATGCTCATTGAATAACACCTGCCACTATAACAACAGCAGAACCTGTAAAGTTCCAGTAGTGCTGCAATGAGAGCAAGCCAAAGAGGAATATTCGGAAAGGAGCAGCAACTGAAGTGAAACCCCACTTTACTGAGGTGCTTCATGGGCTCCAGTCACAATTCAGATCCATGACAATTTTTAAAGTCTGTGATTGTTTTATCAATCTGACAAATACAGGCTTGGGAGTAAAGTAGTACAAAGGTTTTTTATTCTTGAATAATTGTGTACAAGTAATAGGAAATAGCTATTTTATAAAGTCATTGCAGTCAAAATAGTACAGCTTTTAAGACTCCTTGTCTTCTGCCAGAAGTTAAGGTTGATTCTTGTTTTCAGCTCTACAGCTGGGCCAGCCTCCTCAGGACTAGGAAGTTGGCCAGCTGGCCAGCACCAGTACAACTCCCTTTCTTCCTTTTACTAGAACAAGGAGACAGTCTAGAGTACATCACGTCTGCATTGTCCAGGTTTGCAGGGTTGAAGTTTAGCCCTGCACACATTTCACCAGGCATGCCTCCCCAAAGGGAGCTTGGTGACAAGACCCAGAGAGAGGTGCCAGTTTTACTGCAAAGCTCTGACTCGGCAGAAGGGTTCTGGACCAAGTCTTTGGAGCCCGACCTTCCCAAGCTCACTGAGCAAGTTGATTTGGTGATTCAGATCCATGACAATTTTTAAAGTCTGTGATTGTTTTATCAATCTGACAAATACAGGCTTGGGAGTAAAGTAGTACAAAGGTTTTTTATTCTTGAATAATTGTGTACAAGTAATAGGAAATAGCTATTTTATAAAGTCATTGCAGTCAAAATAGTACAGCTTTTAAGACTCCTTGTCTTCTGCCAGAAGTTAAGGTTGATTCTTGTTTTCAGCTCTACAGCTGGGCCAGCCTCCTCAGGACTAGGAAGTTGGCCAGCTGGCCAGCACCAGTACAACTCCCTTTCTTCCTTTTACTAGAACAAGGAGACAGTCTAGAGTACATCACGTCTGCATTGTCCAGGTTTGCAGGGTTGAAGTTTAGCCCTGCACACATTTCACCAGGCATGCCTCCCCAAAGGGAGCTTGGTGACAAGACCCAGAGAGAGGTGCCAGTTTTACTGCAAAGCTCTGACTCGGCAGAAGGGTTCTGGACCAAGTCTCTTTGGATCCCGACCTTCCCAAGCTCACTGAACAAGTTGATTTGGTAGCCTGCTACCAGGGAACAGGGCAGCATCAACACAGATGGGTACTGGGCAACCTCTGGGCAAACTGCTGTAGACCCATCCAGACTTGGAAATCCCATACTAACTCACAACCAATTTGAGTCTCCCCAAGAAAAGTGATCTTCTTTCAACGTTTACTGGTCATACCACTCAGAAAAAGAATGAACAACATTTCAAGGGGCTAAAGGAAAAGGAAGGAAAAGGAGGAAATGAACATCAAGCTGGTTTTTTGGAACTCATGAGATGACAAAGTCTTGTCTGCAAACAGCAGAGTGCAAATTGATCAATGTTAAAAACATTTTCAGATTTTTGAAACTAATTTTAAACATCAGAACGAACAAGAAGACGAGAAAGAACAAGTAGCAACTCTGTACTAACAATGCCTATTATTTGCCATTCCAAAAAGACAGGAAAATTATGAAACTCAGAGAGAAAGCACTGAAACTCAGGTACTTATAGTGTGCACAAGGCATTCCTTGAGCCAGGAGAATCACACAGCCTATGCTGCAGTGACCAGGTTACGCATCCCAGTGCAGTGTTTGAGAGTATGCAAAAAGGACAGGTTCAGAAGTAACCTGCAGAGTAACTCAAGTACTAGAGTCCAGGGCTCTGAACTCTCAACGTGCAGACTGCTCCTCCTCACAAGTTACTGTACCAGGAATGTTTCAACAGGTGGTGCAAACAGCTTTCCTTACACAGGGAAGCTTAAAAACCCTCATAAAGTAGCTATCTTGAGCTGAGACAGCTTTGCCAAACTTTACGTGGAGATTGGGCCAGAGGATTTTGTTACTACCATGTACTGAAATCAAGAGGGAAACAACTGGTTTAGGTGGTTCTGAACACAACAAAAAAGAATTTTATTGCACAAACAAAATCTGGAAACATTTGCTTTGAATAGCTCTGTTCCAAAATATCTGATTTGAAATCTGGCAGGGATGCAGGGGGTTTGTATCGGTTCTGAACACAACAAAAAAGAATTTTATTGTAAAACAAAATCTGGAAGCATTTGCTTTGAGTAGCTCTGTTCTAAAATATCTGACTTGAAATCTGGCAGGGATGCAGGGGGTTTGTATCAGGGATGTATCTGTCCAAATCAGAAGCCCTCAGGGGTAAAAAACAGAATACGTGGGCCCAGCAGTCTTCTTTGGTTTGAGTATCTACAACCTCCAAACACTTTACAAGAATGTAACATCTTAAAGCTTTCTGCAAGTTTGAGCACTAAAGAGCTGCGTGCATCATTGCCTTGAATACACGTGTGTGAGTAAGATTCAAGTTCTTGAGTACACAAGCAAATTAATTCAGGGTAGATACTGCAACTATTCCATAACAGCCAGTCAAAAGGACAGAATCTGTTATTATTTCTGAACACTGTCTGAAATACTGCATACTTCTGAACAAAAGTAACACTTCTGTAATGGAAAGAAGTAGGAAAAAAAAAAGAAAAAAAAGGAATTCCATGTATTCCACCACAGACCCTCCTCCATATGGGAAGCTGTTCTAAAACAGCTGATGCTAATTCAAACATCCCAGTATTGGTGAGATCTAAAATTGCAATGCTAAGATTGACAGAGAAGATCAAAAATGCTTTCTTGTATTGTGAAGTAGGTCCCAGTGCCATGGCCCCTAAGGACTCACACTCCCCAACAATTCACAGCAACTCTGTTCATTCATAGTTTACTAACTGTACCCTAAAAACTCTTCTTAGTTAAATACCTTATTTTTAAATGCCTTAAAAAACCTCAAAAGTTAAGGGTAAGGAAAAGACTATCCCTGGCAAGGTCAGTACATGGGACTGTCCTGCCTAACCCCAGCTTGCTGGCTTTTAATAGATCAAACAATATATGTTTATACCTGGGTTCCTACAGAGTAGAGCTGGATGAGAATTGCATACACATGAAATATGGCAGCTGTCTGAAGGGCTTTGCTCTTCTGGCCCTCAAATCACATATATTTTTTGCAAGCCCTCAGTAAATTCTAATGCACAACCCAAATGTCTGCTTCTTTTTATCATTATGTTACCCCCTGTGAACTACATACGAATTACAATATCCAGTGGAAAGCAGAGTCTGCAGAAGCTGCTCAGCCTGGCCTGCATTGGCATGAATCTGCTTTGCCAGACCTCTTTGCAAAATTGTAAATTACAGAATCACAGAATCATTTAGGTTGGAAAAGATCTTTAAGATCATTAAGTCCAACCCTTAGCCCAGCACTAAAATATCCACCACTAAATCATGTCCCTAAGTGACACATCTATGTGTCTTTTAGCTACCTCCAGGGATGGTGACTCAACCACTTCCAATGCCACAAATACTTTTAACATACAAGAATGCACAAAGATATCAGGGAAGGCAGCCTTCTGCATGTATGGAGCTGCAGTTCTCTAGGTCATCTCCTCTTACTTCAGTTGTCTAAACAGTGAGGTAGAGTTGTCTCACTTCTCCCTGTCTGTAGATGGAAACTGTCATCTCAAAACCAGCACACTTTGCATCCGAAAGAGACACTTGAGAAGCATATTGAACTCCTTAGGTGTGTGTGTTTCACCCTTACACACGGAACCTAAAGTGAACTGTCTGAGTCAGTTTTCAAAAGTTAAATATCTGAAGTCAGGGATATCTCCTGAGAGCAGAGGTCTGCTGCTGTAGATGCAGAAGAAGGATATGGGCTATGTCAGGAAGAATGTGATAAGAATTAGAAGAGAGGAAAAAAACAGCAACATAAATTGGGTCAGGAATCTGTTCAAGTATAATTTTAGCAACAACTAAAATTAAGAACCCTGCTGTACCCAGTACCAGTCTGCAAGGCAGGCTCACATAGCTCACCGTCAAGTACTGCCCCACAGACAGACCTCTAAAGAAACGTTTGAACATATCAAGATTCTTTTTTTCAGCACGGAAGTCAGAATATTTTGAAAAGTAACAGAAACAAGCAGATAGACATACAATTATATATGCCATTCTAATAAAGACAGAGGCTTGAATTTTCACACATCCCCCTCCCCAAAACGTGGTCAGGTATTAACACAAATTTCCTAATGGAAGGCTTCAAACAGGTAGTGATGCCCGGGTAAAACCAAGGCACAGACAATTTTCTTCCTCACGCCTCGCCCAGAACCAAAGGCGGCAAAGGAGGCCGCAAGGGGGGAGGACCTGGGACAGGGAGGGAGGGAGGGAGGGAGGGAGAGAGGAGCAGGAGGGAGTGCAGGGGAGAGGGAGGGAGAGAAGCGGGGGTGAGAAAGGGTGCAGAGAGGGGTGCAGGGTGAGGAGCCAGGGCCCATCCGCAGCGCTCCCGCCCCGCTCCGAGGGACGCCGAGCGCCCCGCCGGCGGGAGGCGAAGCTGCCCGGCCTGGGCTGGGGCGATAAGAGCAAGACAGCGCTGCAGAAACAAACAACCTGACGAGAGCGGCAGGCCGGACGGGAGCAGAGGGAGCGGAGCGACAGTGAAACACCTCACTCAGCGGGGCGGGGGTCGCCGGCCACAGCCGGGGCACGGCCGCAGCCCCCCTGGCCCCGACCTCCCCACGGCCTGCGGGGAGCCAGCCCGGCCCGGCCCGGCCCCCGCACCACACGCCACCAGCCCTGCCCGAGCCCGGCTCGCAGGGCGGGGGGCTGAGCCCGCTCCCTCCCGGCCCCGGCACTCACATCGCCGCTGCCCCGGCAGCTCGCCGCGCCGCTGCCCTGCGCTCCCCTCCGCTCGCCGCGCCGCTGGGGCGGGATGGGGCGGCGCCGGGAGAGGGAGGGAGCGCGGCGACGGGAGCCGGGAGGGCTCAAGCCGCGCTCTCCTCCCCGCCCTTCTCCACCTCCTGCCCTCACCCGCTCCTCCTCCCTCGTCCCCGAGGAGGCGAGCGCTCAGCGGGAGCCGCCCGGACAGGGAGAAGGAGCCGCGGCCGCTCGGTGAGTGCCGCCCGCATCCCGCGTCCCGCGCTCGGGGGCACCGGGAGGCTCGGCCGCCTCCCCTACGGTGGGCAGAGACACCGCGGGCCACGGGTTCGAGCCCCACCGCCGGCAGCGCCCCGTGCCGAGCGGTCCCTGCCCGCGGCACCCATGGGAGATGAAGGGTGTGGGGAGAAGGGCGGTGACAGGGTGCGAAGGGGCTGGGGGGGCAGCGGGCCCCGGCCGGGCGGCGGAGCGCGCCCTGGGGCGGCGGCCAGCGGAGCCCCGTCCCGCCGGACGCCGCTGCCAACTTTCTGGGAGTTCGGCGGCGCGTGTGTCGGGAGGGCTCCTGCCCGTACCAGCTTCACCTCCTCCCGCTCCCCGCTGCCCCCGGCGCCGCCGCCCTGCCCTCCCGCTGTCCCTGCCTGCCTCCCGGCCGCCTCTCCCGCCGTGGTGGGGCAGCCGCGGGAGGGGGGCGAGGGCCGGCGCCGTCCCGGGGCGGGGGGGACGGGGACGACACGGGCACTCTGGGGCGTCCCCGCACACTGGCCCCGGGTCACCTCCTCCGCTGCTTCCCCCACAAATAAAACCCACCCCGGGCTGGTGTTCCACAGCACAGCCTCACCCCCTCCCTCCGCCCTGCCCTGTGTGACTGATCTCCCCACGGTTCTGCGAAAAAAGTCGTGTTAATTCACCGGCTGCAGCTGGCAGCCTGTTTGCTACAGTCACGCACAGGGGTGGAGGAGAAGCCTGCGGAGTGAGTCATGGCTGTAAGAGGCCCTCCGGTTGTTTATGGCAAAACCAGGGGGGTGGCTCATTCAACATGTGGGAAATACGGGCAGTAAGAGTTGCCTCGATCCATCCTACCAGGACAGGGCAGTGGTACCTGTGCCTGGCACCCCTGCCCCAGCTCGCTGTCGGGCTGCCTCAGAAAGGAGGTGGGGAAGTTGCCTTTTCCTCTCACAAGGAGGGCTTGTGGTCAGACTGTCATAGCTAGCTGCAGGAGTTTTGCATTTGTCAGCATTTCCATTATAAGTGTACTTTTTATGTAGTTCACAACATGGCTATAAATATACGCCCTGGGTAGAAATTTAGTTGATGGCATCTTCTCTATCTAAGCAACTTTTGAAATTATTCTGTTTTGATGCTAAGTAGAATTCCATGGAAAATACTGGCTTTTTATGTTTCTTTCAACTTTAAAGTTTAGCTGCTTACACACATGGACTCATTTACAGCTGTTAGTCCGAAAAAATTCCTTCCCCCTTGAGTTTGTTAAACTGAGGAAGAGTTTAATTCTTTTCCTCAGTAGGCATTGGTCATTAATTAGTGCAGCAGAGACTCTGAAGACTCCTGCAAGGTCTCTGCTACCTCGAGTGAGGGCACCAACTTACAGAAGGGACATGGGACACTGTGTCCGCACAGCTCTAACCCCCGAGTGCCAGGGCAGTTCCAGTGCCTCAGCACCACGGACAAGAAGCTGGTGTTAAAATCAAGGCAAAATACGTTAACTTCCCTCTGTGAGATTTTTTTTTCCTTTTTTTTTTTTTTTTTTACCTTGTCCGTTCAATTGCTGCTTCTGAGACAGGGAACAAGCCCAGTATTTAGGAGCTTTCGTTTTTGTACCCCTGTATACGCGCTGGCTCTGGATCCCGTGAAACATGCCCGCCACCCAGTGGATGTCGCTGGTCTCTATATATTCTATACATTTACCGCCTCTCCCCTGTGCCCAGCCCTACCCTGCCTGTAAGTTTGCAAAGCCAAGTGCTCAGGATGCCGGGCTCACCTCTGCGCCCGAGGATGGTGTTGGTTGGGACAGGATGTGCCAACATCCTTCCCGGCCAGCTCGGGACACGACATGTGTCCCCCAAGGTGTAGCAGCTCTCTGGCTGGGCAGCAGTGAGGAGAGGTGGATGGGGCAAACAACTGTACACAGAGAGAGAGGCAGCATCGGGGCTGAGACAGCTGGAGAATCGGATGTTGCAGCCCCGGCCTTTGCCGTTGATTTCCACATAAACATAAAGGTTTTTGCCCGTGGTCTGTTGGGTTTTCTGGGAGCCTGGCCTGAGTCCCTGGGATCTGCTTTGCAGTTATGCTAAACTTTACCATCTGGAACATAAATGAGTGTCTGTTTGGTCTCTGTGTACAGAAGATGTTTTGCAGGTCTAAGCATGTTAGAAATACAAGCCTTGAGTGTCAGAATTGCTGACTCAGTGTCCATAGTTTTTTGCTTTAATATATCTTAGTTTCCTGTATTAAAAATATGTGGATAACAGTAGCCTTTATCTTACAGATTACTATAGTGATGAGAAGCATATAAGAGCCTAAGAGAAAATAAATTATTTCCTCTGTGATTTGAAAGCATTTGATGATGCTCTAGAGAAAAAGGTGGTGTTCTAAGTATTTTCCTAGATTTTCTTTCCCTTAGGAAAAGTGCCAAAAAGTAGATAGGCGGCCTAGGGTAGCATATTTGTTCACTGTCCTTCACCAGCTGGATTCGTAAGGTCACACCGGGGACTCTGCTGTCAGAGCCCCTGTTGAGGGTACCAGTGGTGGTAGGTCCTGGCTGTGGTCTGTGTTGCTGTACTTGCTCATAATTGCTGTGTTGTCTGATCACCATGAGGAGCTGAGAAGAATGTGGATGTGGCCTAGCAAACACCTACTGAAAATACACACAGTGCAGTTTGGTTTTGGACATTTGACCAAATGCAGATGGACTTTTCATGGGGGCAGGAAAAGAGGGACCTCCAAAAGGGCTCTGCCCCTCATTCAGGACTGTCATTGGGAGATGGAAGAACATTAAAGCCTTTCAAGTTTCCAGACACGTATTGCCATTGGGAGACAGCATTTTCCCTGGTTTTGTTCTGAGAACAGCTCAAGTATTTTGGCCGAGTTCTTCTAATCCAAATCTGCCTCTTTCTGCACCCCTCACTCAGAGGTAACTTTTACAGCACATGGAACAGAATTTAGCCTGAGGCAGACATTCAACTTGGAAAATTTTAACCCAAGCAGTCAAAGTCTGGCCAAGTTACAAGCAGCTGGAAGCAGCATCTTGCATTGGAAGTGTTCAGCAGCTGTCTAATAGGCAATGCTACAAGCTTCACCTATCCTGTGTATATGTTTATGTACATGGAAATACGCTGCTGAATTACAATGTTATTTCACTGGTTACCTGGTCTACTAACTGTTCTTTTTGTTTGTTGGTTGGGTTTTTTTTTCCTTACTAGAGAAAGGAACTTAAACATCTTTGGTTAATGCTATGAGTGATTTTCCTTACTCACATTATTCATTGTTTTCCTGGCTGAAAAATTGAAAACTTTAAAATGGAGCCTCTGAAATAAATGACAAGCCAGGCCTTACTTGTTCTGAATACTTCAAAATGACTTAACGATTGTTAAAGAACAGTTTACAGTAGAACTAAAGCAAATAGCTTCCCAGCATTTTGAATTGTAAAAAACCCACATCTCCCAAATTCCTAAGCTATTCATCAACTGCTCTATTGTAGCAGACTCACCCTATATTGTGTCCCTGATATATCTATTAAGTCTGCAGTGAAGTGTGAGTTTAAAACAATTGTGCCATGGAGTCACTGTGGAATAAATACCACAAACATTGGCAAAGTTGCTTCATAAATCTTTCTTAGTTTAGAGAGGAACTTAGGCGTGCCTTTCTTCTATGGGAGTGCAGCTGTTTCTTGTGAGGTTCCCTGGGGGCTGGATCTTGGTGTAAGGCTGTTTAATATCAATGTATTCACAGCTTATGTGATGATATTGCATCATTACCAGCATATTATCTGCAGGTTTGTGCACGTGTAGAACAAGTTACTAGTACACCATACTCCAAATAATTTTTTTTAATTATGAGCGTACATCAGAAGGCATTTTTCATGCAGCCACATACAAAGGAACCAGGATTGTGGTTACACCAGCACGATAGGGGATTGTCCTCAAACTGGTAATTTATTGAAAGAAGGCTTAAGAATTTGTGCAGGGAATCATCTCAACAGGAGTTTTCCTTGCAATGCTGCAACTGAAGTGTGGTCTTTGGCTGTGCAGCAATATAAATATTGCACAGAAGTAGGAAAGTACGTGGCATTAGTAAGATCACAGGAACTCCATGTCTGGTTTTGCTGCTCACACGTGAGGAAGGATGTGAAATATTAACAAGAGCACAGGGACCAAAGTGATCCAGAGTTTGGAGACCAGGTGTCACAATTGCAGATTGTACATCTGACAAAGGATATGGTGCCTGTGTATATCATACATGTGTGTGAGGAAAGTACATGGTATTTACTTGGCCATCCAGTGTCTGAGAGATGAAGTTAGGCATGTTGTACTTTGAACTAATAAGTAGTGACGAGGGCAGTAGAGGATTGTAGTGGATTTGCTGTTGCTGAGAGTGTTTAAAGTTGCTGGGTTTTTCTTCTTAAAGGTGTGCTTTCACTTGCTTTGGTGGAGGATGTTTCCAGTGTGTGTAGAAGGGGGAAGGACTGTACTCCATTCACCTGAATTTTTCCCTATGTTGAAACAACAAGATTATTTGCAGTGCTTTCCGTGTATTGTAGCACGTATTGCTACATTGACAAGATTACAAGAAAGTGCCATACTTTAGAACTTGGCTGGTTTTCTCTTGGGTCAGGAGGACCACTTTTTCTTGGTGCCTAATTTGACTTCTGGGAGTGTGATTAATTATTGTGTACTTCCCTCTAGAGTATCACCACATCCCTCTAGAGTATCACCACATCTGGTGGCAGCTGGTGACAGGATATCAGATCCTCTCTTTACACAGTCCCCTCCTATTCCCAGGTTGGTGTATCATCTTTCTTTGTTCAGGATACTGTCAGTTATATTCAGGGATGAAAAAGATTTTTTTCTGCCTTTAGCTAGGCAAGGACATTGCTCATTGTTCAG